TTTTCTCACACAAACTGCTCGTTTCGTATCTTAGGCCATCAATGTGTACTTACATTTATGAGTCATTAAATCATGTTTAATTTGGACTTCTCTGTGCATGCTCTTTGAGGTGGTGACCATAGACCTCCATTATATGACTGACAGATACAAACGGTTTGACCTAAAAATATTAAAATTGAAAATACTGTGGAAACAAAGACACCTACATCTTGGATGTGTAAAATTAAAGTGTTTAAAATTAAAGTGAACTACCCCTTTAATGCAGGTGCTAAAGCTCTTACCACGTCTGATTCACTTTCAACAGCGTTTCTTAGAAATAGTGTACTGCACCTTTAACTGGATTTAATCAAGTCCAAAACATGAATCAACATAAATACATTGATTTATACCAACAAAATTAATTTTAATAGGTTAAATCAAGTAAAAAAAAACAAACAGCTCTTTAAGTCAACAATTTCAAGTTACCACTTTTTACAGCGAAGCTTAAAAAGTTCAAGTTAAATGGTCACATGAATTACTCATTCCTGGGTTAATGTGACTTTTCTTCTAAAAATGAAAGCAATAATGAAATACCTGGTTTGTGTTATTCTATGTGGACCGAACTCTGATGGCAGAGGCACCTGAAATAATGAGAAATTAGAGAAATACAACAGGGCTGACATATTTCTGAAATAGAAGTTCATTACTGCAATCCGGAAGTAGGTCATGTCAGGTGATTCATTATCAATGGGAATCTCTTTTGTATACCAGTACAGGGTCAATGACTCGATGCTCTGGCATTTAAAATTACCTATGAAATTCATTTAACTTCATTATGAAAATCTTGTAAATATTGTAATACTGGCATAGTATTTTATTATAATTTCCATTGAAAAGCCATGGAGAAATTTTGTTTGAAATATTATTATTTAAAATGTTGTGAGGCAAATCAATAACCAATAAAAACAGAGGACACTGTGTGATTTTTTTTAACTTTCTAAAACCCTTTTTAAAAATAATAATTGATTTGTGAGATACACAGTGTTATGTTGATGCATATTTTGTTAACATACAGAGTGAGCCGTGCAGTAATGCCTGTGAGGGACGCTCTGATAATACTCCAGTAGTCTCTCGGCCAGGGAGATCCGCCGCAAGAGGCTTTCAATGAACCGTCGCAAACGAACCTTCCCACACATCTCGTGCTGCGCCGCTGCTTCCAGAAACTTCTGGATGGTGACAACTTCCCTGCGATACAGTCAAGGGTATTACTGTAGAACAGCTTTGTGAAACATTAGGCTCTCATCACAAAATGTAAAAGTCCATAAATGTAGTACTGTTTCGTTCTGTTTCTCGTTGCTGCACTTTTAAAGGAGTAGTTCACTTTTAAAAAAACTTTTGCTGATAATTTACTCACCCCCATGTCATCCAAGATGTCCATGTCTTTCTTTCTTCAGTCGAAAAGAAATTAAGGTTTTTGATGAAAACATTCCAGGATTTTTCTCCATATAATGCACTTCAGTGGGAACCAAACGGTTCAAGGTCCAAATGAGAGTTTCAGTGCAACTTCAAAGGGCTTTAAAGGATTCCAGACAATGAATAACGGTCTTATCTAGCGAAACAATCATTTAATAAATAAATAACAAAATTTAAGTTTTATAAGCTCAAATGGTCGTCTTGCTCTGTTCTGTGACTCTCCTATTCGACCTCATTTATCCAAATGAACGAATCTTTTTCCGAGTCAACTCGTTCGTTTCGTTCGTTGAATGAACCAAATGACTCAGAAAAAGATTTGTTCATTTTGATGAACGAGTTCGAACGTGCATCACAGAACAGAGCAAGGCGAGCATTTGTGCTTATAAAACTTAAAGTTTTTTATTTATTTTTTAAATGAGCGATCGTTTTGCTAGATAAGACCCTTATTCATCGTCTGGTGTCGTTTAAAGCCTTTAAGCTGCACTGAAACTCTCATTTGGACCTTGAACCGTTTGGTTCCCAGTAAAGTGCATTATATGGAGAAAAATCCTGGAATGTTTTCATCAAAAACCTTAATTTCTTTTCGACTGAAGAAAGAAAGACGTGGACATCTTGGATGACATGGAGATGAGTAAATTATCAGCAAAAGTTTTTTTTAAAGTGAACTACTACTTTAAGAAAAAAAACTTTTTCGTGTAAAAGCCACAGAGTTGAGCACTTTCTCCGTTTCATTATCATTTACTCCCCATCATGTCATTCCAACCCTGTATAACTTTATTTTATTTGTGAAACACAAAAGAAGAATGTTCTTTATTAGAGGTCAAAGAGGTCACATTTCCGACAGAACTCTGCTTGGTCATTACCAGATGCCAGTGATTATAGTTTATAAAGTTATAAATGTGGATATTGTTAGACTTTTAACGGAGGGACAGAAATCTCTCACGTTTCATTAAAAAATATCTTCATTTCCACGATGAGTGAATGAGTTAGCGAACTAACCCTTCAAATCTTTCACTCACTGTTCTCTGCGCTCCAGCTCGTGCTCCGAGATGCTAAGCTGCTGCCTCAGCGTGGCGATCACCATCACAGCGGCGTCTACCTGTCGGCTGAGCGCTCGCTCTCGCTCCAGCACGACCTGCTTCTCCTGGGCCAGGTGATGCGAGTGAGCGCGCTCACACTGGATGGCCGTGTCTGTCTGCGCTAGCTCTGAGCTCAGCCGTAGCAGACGCCGCTCCATGCTGCTATTGGCTGTCCTCATCATCCCCTCCAGCCGCTTCTCCACGCACGCCACCGGAGCCGAGAGGGGCCCGGCGCCAGCTGATGCGTCCCCAACGCTGAAGCTCCTCACTGGGGGCGTGAGCTTTTGCCCTGCGGGATGCTGGGATGGAGCTTGGTCGGCAGCGAACATGTGTTTGCGCTCTCCTCTCGTGGTTGAGTTAGTATTGGTGCCGGCATCACGTACTTTGTGCATGTCGGAATTGGAGATTTTGCCGCCTTCCAGTCGGTCTGTGTTACATAAATCCCCTGTGGATAGGAGGCTGATGTCATGTTTAGTGTGGAACGGGTGGCTGTATTCAAGGTGAGCTCTGAGGGAAGAAAGACTCTGGAAACGTTGGTGCTCTCCACATCGCGGGCAGCGGAAAGGAAGTTGAGGATGGACCCCGGCTCCACATGCCTGGCCGTTCTTCACAAACAGCGCTGTGTTGCGTGTGCACACTTTCTGCTGCATGACACAGATAACCTATCGATAAAAGAAAATATTAGACATTTGGGCACCAGAGTTCTTTAATATAAAAATACCTTACAGCAGAAATGGCAAACCAGGGTCCACAGTTGGCCTGTGATAACCTGTGATTTTGACCCACCATATCACAACTGGGGGGTCTTTGAAGCATATCTAAATTTCTAATGTATCTTTTTATTTTAACTTTTTAATCATGTCAAATTTGTATATAACGCAACATTTACGTTTGTCCTACGGCACTCCTGTATGATTTTTGGTCCTTCTTAGTAAAACGTTTGTTCATTTATGCCTTAGAGCATAGAAAAACCTTTTCTACCTTAGTAATAGACAAATATTTTAGGTAGGCTGATTAATCTGTCTATATTTGGTATATTTGTATATATATTCATATAACACAAACTGCATGAATTTGAATGGAAAACAATTTGGAACAGTAGCTTTTATTTTATAAGTGAATTAATTAGGCCTTATGTTTTATCCTGCTTTCATGTTTGTCAACACTATTGGGATGTCACAAAATGTCAGCATGCATTTTTTTTAAATCGACTTATTTTTTTGTAGCCCAGATATTAAAGTATGTGCTTATACAGAAAGTGAAAATAAAGCCAAACTGGAAACGTGACAACTTGCCCCGGCGGTATTACGTTTTTTTATTGGCCACCATGAGCTCTTTTTAGATATCGGCATGGTCATGGACTATTGAAAAACAAATCGGTCGACAACTATGGTGTGCAAACCTCGCTGTAACTGGTCATTTTTATTAAAGCAAGCTTTTCTAAAAGTCTTACATAGACAGGATATATGACAGTAGCCTATCATTAAAATAAAACAAAAAAACTGACATCAACACTTGTCACAACTAGGCTGCGTGCTAGATATTAACGATATAAGACCATTTCCATCCATTATTACTATTTAATTATGTTCTTAATTTCAGCATATTTATTTTTTTAAATAGGTTAATTTAAAGCTTTGGCAAATCAAATCTGTGGTGAGATGCATTTGCTTGTGTTTTAATGGTTTACTTATATGCTTAAATCAATCGAAGATCATGCTATAATTGATTCTATACTCAGAAATTTGTGAAAATCTTAAGCAATCAGGAGGCGATCTACTGGGCAGAGTCTGAAATCAGACAGGTAGTCAGCTGACATTTTCTATAACACACCACAAGCATGCGATCATACCTTGATGAACGAGCTCCAGTGGGATTGTGTATTGTAAGCTTTGATCAAACTGTTGATCCTTCGGGTTATCTGTTGCTTGATATTTCAGTCCAGTCAGAACCCCACTCGTCGTAACCCTCTCTGATTGAGATACAGTAAAAACGATATCTAGGTGTATGAAGTCATCTGGGTCAGGAATGAGCGTGACAGCAGCGACAGAGGTGACATTGATTTCTTTTCATATGATGCTGAATGCAGTTTTCGTGTGCAAAATGTCATCGTATTACATGTAAAATTACAATCGCTGTAAAAATGACTGAAAAGATTCGGTCAGAACATTCAGGATTCATTAGAATGCAGTGCGGCAGACTGTCAGATCAATCTATTTAAAGACAGACGGGGGAGAAGAGCACTATATCACAGCATTAACACAAACCCACATTATTCTATCATTTACATAAACTAGTTTAAAATGTAGTATACATCACATATTAATATGAATTTCACAAAATCTATTAATAAAATCGACTTATTTAAGCACACCTATTTCGTTTTCTCCATACCCCAACCTTTCACAGTTTAAATATGGTATCGCCCAACTGTTGTAGAGGCAACGGCGAGATTTGAAAGAAGCTGATTGGTCGATTCGCGCTTGTGTAATCCTGTGGTTTGTTGTGCGGAGAGAGGCTTGTCTTGAGGAAGAGGCCAATATGGATCCACCGCGGGATATTCAACATTTTATACGAAATATTGCCACTCGATCCACGGTATCGTCGTGCTCCTCTCTCGCCATGGAGATCAAGAGAAAGAAAATAAGAGAAAGCATGTTTTTTCAAAATGAGGTGAGTCTGTTATGTTGAAATTCAAGTTGTGGGTTTTCATGTCCGTTATTATTCAAGACTAACCGCTAACTTACTTTCAATAATTTTCTCAGGCCAAAGACCGAGATATGAAGCGATGCATAAGTGTGCATAACACGAAGCAGGTTATAGAAGACATGAATTTGTTGTTCATAACTTCTAAGAAACGAAAGGTAGTCTGTGTATGAGCAGAGTGTGGTCATGTTTCATTCATAATCTAGTTACCTACCACCATGTTATGTGTCGGAATCCTCCAATGGACCAAATGAGTAAACCGGTTTTTTTTTTCAACATCATCACACAGCCCTAAAATTAGTCAATGTTTAGATTGTTTTGCGTCTTTTTGTCCGACTACTAGTCATCCAGTTGCTTGCGATAACCGATCCGTGGGCAAATCGTTTCATGTGAATCGGATCTTTTTAGTGAACTTGTTTTGCGGTTTTTGATTCTGACTCGAAAGTCCGATTAGCAATTTGTCACCGAGTTAATGATAAAATCATGAAATGAATGACTATTTATAAACGTACCAAAAATAAAGGAATAGTTAATTTTTTTTTTAGTTTATTCACCCTCGTGTTGCTCCAAACCTGTATAAAGTTCTTTCTTGTGGTTAAAGGGATAGTTCAGTTTGAAATAAATTTTTGGTGTGTTTTAGCTTACCTCAAGGGCATCCAAGATGTAGGAGTCTTTGTTTCTGCAGTATTTTCAATTTTGATATTTTTAGGTCAAACCGTTCGCGTAATCAGTAATATAATGCAGGTCTATGGTCACCACCTCAAAGAGCGTGCACAGAGAAGTCCAAATTAAACATGTAAATGTAAGTACACATTGATGGCCTAAGACACGAAACGAGCGGTTTACTTGTGTAGACTGAAGCGCCCTTACCCTCAGATCACTTGGACGTGGCTGTGGTTGCAAGAGGTAAAAACGATATACCGTAAATACTGTTCATTTTCTCACACAAAATGCTCGTTTCGTGTCTTAGTCCATCGATGTGTGCTTACATCAACGAGTCATTAAATCATGTTTAATTTGGACTTCTCTGTGCATGCTCTTTGAGGAAGACCCGATACACCATTATATGACTGACAGACAACAACGGTTTGACCTAAAAATATCAAAATTGAAACCACTGTGGAAACAAAGTCACATACATCTTGGATGCCCTTGAGGTAAGCTAAACATACCAACAATTTATTTCAAAGTGAACTATCCCTTTAACACAAAAGAGGATATTTTGAAGAATATTGCTAACCAAACAGTTGATGGGGCATCATTGACTTCATAGTTTGGGAAAAAAAAATATTATGGAAGTCAACTGTTTAGTTACCCATATTCTTCAATATATCTTCTTATGTGTTCAGCAGAAGAAAGAAATTCATACTCGGAACAACTTGAGGTTGAGTAAGTGATGACAGAATTTTCATTTTTGGTGTTGAACTATCTCTTTAAAACCAGTGTCCTGTCCCCAATGCTTTATTGGAACGTTTTATAGAATGTAATATGCCATGATCAATGTGATTACGGCTAGACTGAATAATTATTGAATCCAAGTTTTAAAAGAACCGATTCACCAAAAATGACTTCCATTACTTTCACTCACATTCATCGATCCATGTACCATTGTCGGTCCTAAAACACCTGCTTTCCCTAAAGAAGGTGATCTCCTCTTCTTCATTGGCTCATTCCCATTCATTGATCCCCAATGCCCATATTTCATCTCTCCATAAATCAGCATGCACATGCATCAGGAATCATTGTAGAATAGACTGTGTATTATATTAGAGTTCTTCTTTCCCACATTATTCTTCATCTTGTCTATATTTTTTTTGACTGTTTTCAGAGCAGTTGTCCATTAAGCTACTTTATTTCTCCTGATGGATTTTACCCTTCCAATAGGACCGTGATATTCAGGAGAAATTGGAGTTTGAGATGCGAATGAGAGCCGGGGCTTACAAGATTCTGGTTGCCAGCACTAAAAAAGAGCATATGTTGGACGCTTCCAGGAGTCTGTTAACCTGTAATGCCAGAATTAAAGCATACATGAGTGAAGCCCAGAGGAGGAAAGAGCTCCAGGACATCAGAAGGTTAGAACAGCAGCTGTATTGCTAGGAGTATTTAGTGGAAACTTGTATGATCAAACAAATAATATACTTTTTTTATTTTTAGATCATCAGTCTCTCAGGATCAAATCCCTTGTAAGGGAAAGGTAGCCATATCTGGTAAAGGAATCAACTTTTCTTTTCTTTCTTTTTCATACAACCCTGTTTGTTATTTTGTAGTAAAAATGTCTTTGTTTCTTCGATTCATATGTTTTTCTTTTACTTATCCAGGCCTACGAATTCCATTGTTTTGGAAAGATTCAGAACACTTTAACAGCAAAGGGAGTGAGTGACAGTATAACAACTATTATAATTTATTATTTTAAAAAATCCATGTCTTTGCTAATGTTATGAATGCATGCTGAATATGCTATCTGTTTTCATTTTATTTGTATTAATTGAATGGTTAAGCTTACACACTCATACACAACCACACAACACAGCAGTTCAAAAGTTCGCTTTGGGTCGGTAAAAAAAAAATCTCAACAGCAACAGAGTAAATTGATCAAATGACAGTGAAGAAATTTATAATATTACAGATGATTTCAACTTCAAATGAACTGTTCTTTTTTATCACAGAAAATTTTCCACAAAAATATTAAGCTGTATATTAATATTTTCATATTAAAGTGAACTACTCTTAAGTTAATGCCGCTTTGGTGAGCATAATAGTTCTTTCAAAAACTTCAAATCTTAACAACCCCAAACTTTTGAACAGTGTGTATAATATATGTATATTTTAAGAAATCTCTTTATCCTGATGCCATGCGTTTCTTCTGAACCCAACAGATGCACAGCGGGTGGCCGTATTTTGTTTGATAAAGGTTGGCTTAGAGATTTTTGACACTGAAATGGTGATTGCAGACCCCTCAATGACTGATATTTGCTTTGAAGGTGTCAAAATTTTGTGAGTTCTCATCTTTCCATATTTCACTCTATAGCCATTTAAGAAATATGTGAAAATTATGTTCTTGTTTGTTGAGTTTTGAGCTCAATTTCAATCATTTTAACAGCTCCGAAGCGAAGCCGGACTTTGAACTGACGTTTGAGCTGTATAGCTGTGGACTGGAGGAGGAACCAACCTTTGTCAACACTCCAAAAAAACTGGCTAGGAAGCTGCGCTTGTCTTTCGGCAGATCTTCAGGCAGGAAACTCTGCCCTCTTCTGGATGGAGGAGACCCAGACGCTTTCCTCCAGTCCAACCCAATACCATTGTATGCAAGCATGAATATAATGTCAATTTCCTTAACAGTTAAAATCGTTGTACTAGAGAAATGCATGTTAAAAAAAAACTGTTTGTGTCAGAGGTGCACAGTACTCATTGTTGGCGTACACCACACTGGGTTTGGAGCAGGCAGAGGGATCTTTCCAGTCTCATTCTCTTATAATCATGCAAAATGGTAAGAACAAACAACCCACATTTGAATAATTGACCAGCATCGTGGTTCTGATTGATCTCCTGCCATTGGTCTGTCAGTGGAGGCTTCATCATGGCTGCCGCTGTATGGAAACCTGTGCTGTCAGCTGGTGGCACAACCTGACTGCATGACACAAGACATGATGAGCAGTTTCCTGAGCCAACAGGTAAGACCTCAAGTGGTGTTTTTTCTAGTAAAGATTCATGTCAACATTTGTAAATGGAATAAAATGTGTAAAATCATCATTTTGTATTTATTATCCATTTAGCTTAGCATTGAGGGGTTGCAACGCCGCTGTAAGTTGTATTGCATGCTGAAGGCTGGACAGATTTCATGCTATTACTCTCCTGAAGAGATTCAAGCAAAAGTGGAGCCCAGCCTCATTATTCCCATAAACCAGGTAAGAAACATTTCTAAAATTGCCTTTCCCCCGCCTTAAAACCTTAGAATGCAAAACTTTGTTTTTATGAAGGAATGTATAAGATCAAGTGTTTACTGTGTTTGAGGTTACCACAAAAAGTAAATTCCTGGTCTTGTGCATGATTTTATATATTTATATAAGACTAAAAAATAAGGATTAGTTCACCCAAAAATGAAAAACTTGACATCAATTACTCTTCTCATGTTGCTACAAACCTGTAAGACTTTCGTTCATCATTTGAACACAACTACCATTTTGTTGTTTAAAAACTTTCATAAAGGGAACTTAACTAATCCATCAATTGAGCAATTTAGTCCAAATTTTCTAAAGAAACTTGATCGCTTTATTTGATGAACAGATGGATTTATGCTTTTATTCACATATTAATATTGATCAGCGAACATAAACAGAAGCTCATCCATACTTGTTTGATTGCACGACAACAAACCTCATTGGTTCTCGCACGTCAAGCATAAATGCTTGAGATATTATTAATTTTAATATCAGCCAATATATAACCAATATAATGGTTATATAATAATTGACTATATGGCTACACCGCTATATGCAGCCTTTCTAATCTAATAAGCTTGTAGTCAATACAGTAATTTAATTGTGGTCAGTGTAAAAGGCTACAGCAATAATAGCAAATGATGACAAAGCTTTACCATTTGGGATGCATGCATCGTAAAATATGTAGTTTAATGTTTGAGTGTGTGTGTTTATGCAGGAGACCCGTATTCGTGTGGTAGAAAAGGACCACCAGAAGACTAGCTGTAAACTCAACCTGATAAACCCGGGAAATGGAGACTCCGTCGGTCATGTGTTCATTACTGAAACTCCTGACGTCTTACAGGAGTGGCTGGATGCCCTCTGGCAGCACATTTATGACCAGAGTCAGTTCAACTAGCATCTGTCAGAATTCAAAGCAAAATTACTTTACTATAGTTTGTATGTGTTAACGATTATTATGAACTTATTCTCAGGTCAGTGGCTACATGCATGTGACAAGCTCATGGAAATTGAGGTTTTGTCACCACGCAAACCCCCACTCTTTCAAACAAAGCAAGCTGACTCTGTTTATAATGATCTGAGTGAGTATCATTTATAATATAAGAGTGACTTGTTCTGCTTTTGTTAGCCTAATTTAGGAGGAACGAGCTTAGTCAAACTTCCTGTTATTTCTGTGTTCATTATTTAATGTATTACTTTCAGGTATCGGGTCTCCTGGGAAATTTGAGAGCTTGACTGACATAATTCACAATAAGATTGAGGAAACTGATGGGCGCTTTCTCATTGGTCAGGAGGAGGACACAGAGCCGCCTCATTGGGCAGCGCTGTTTGAAGGATCCCGGCCAATGGTAGTACAAAAAACGGTTCTGTCACCAGGTAAAGAAAGCAATCAGTCTGTTACGAGTCCCGTCACGGCCAACAAAAAGAAGCGGAGAGCTCCTCCACCCCCTCCTGATAGATTACCCTTTACCAGCGTCTTATCCAATCAGGAGAATGAGAACTGTAAGGGGGCGAGGCCTCGGACAGGGCGACCCTCGCTGGATGCTAAATTCTCTGCCATCATTCAGCAGTTGCAGAAGAGTCACGCATCAACACGCAAAAACGCCCCTCTTGGACAGATCGAGCCCTGTCAGCACCCTTGTGTCCAGCGAAAAAGAGATGACGAGTCAGATATACCAGAGAATCCTGGGAAAGAATACAGTCAGGTCCCTCAGCGACCTGTGCCGGCCCCCAGGAACAAACTGAGGATGTCATTCAGAGAGAAGCGGAACCCAAAAGCCTGGTGAATTAATGAGGCATGATGCATCTCTTTGATTAATGATCTGTTATGGAAAGATGAAACGCCCTTGGACTCGTAAGGAGATGCACACCCTCTCACCCTTTTCTTGATCCATATCAGGAGAATGTGAATGGATACAGTTTGTTCTAGCTTGAACAAACAACTATAATCAGGAAGGTTTAAAAATAAACCATTTTAATCGCATTTTAAATTACAACTCTTCCCTTTCAAGACTAAATGACGGCTCAATTCATTTCAAATCAAATCTTGATTTACTGTTAAAAGTAGGTTTTGTATTATGTTTTTTTTAATACTAGTTGTCTTTAATAACCACTACAACTAAGCACTTTACCATTTTGGTCCGCTGCAGTTTTCTAGTTTTCTTCTTTCATGTCACAGAATAACGTCATGATACGATAGGAACGTTTATTTGTGGTATAAAAACGGGTGCATGCTTTCTTCTTTTTTTAAAAAAAAGTATCAGTAGGTTTAGATGCAGCAGGAACTGGATATATATTTTTGACTTAATGATTTTATACTTTTGAATAGTTAACATTTTACATTTTTCATGTTAGACACTAAGGGTTTAATCTTCATACTGTTGTGTTGAATCAAGTACCGGTAGTTTAACATGTTTATAAGGTCTGAGCACTATATGGAACACTATGTAGGTTATAGTGTGTATGAAAATGTTTTGTTGGGGTAAATGTGTGATTTTTGTTTAATATCTTTATGTATACATCTGAATGGTAAAGTAGCTCACAATGCATTCCACTAAATGCTGCTGTTCAAGATAATTCATGTTATGGTATTTTTGTGCAATACATTGTTTCTTTTGGATTAACATGTTCTTTTTCAGTTGTTTTAGTAATTCACTCTTCATTAGGCATTACTTTTTTTTTCTGGGCATCAATGTAAATGGAAAAGATATTTGCGGTAACTCTGCTAAAATGAAATAGAACAACATTAAAAAGTTGTACTAAACTGATTTATTCTGTTGTCCTTACTTAGTATATGCACATGTGCAATACAGAGAAGGCACTTTTTTCTGTGTAGTATTTTGATTATAAATATTTCATTATAGAAAGAAATCATGCAATCATTCTGTTAAATTTACATACTCAAAACATTGTTCACTTAACCGTAAAATTGCTTTTCATAACATCATCCCAAATTCTTTAGTAACTCCAGCCGAAGCTAAAAAAAAAAGCTTTATGCCAAGTATTACTATATATTTTTACAATATCAATTGCTTCTACTTTTTTATATTGCAATGGTAATGAGGCATCAGAAAACTCGCCTGTGGTTCTGACCAGCGCCATTTTTTTTAGATGATTGCTCGAAGGCCCCATGAATTTGTTGTTCCAAATTGCGTTCCAACTCCTGCCAGTGCTTTTCCTCAAGAACCTGCTGCTTGTATCATTAAATGGAGAAAAATAACAATAATAATGATCTGTTCTGTTATTGTGGCAAAAATTGTGAGATCTGGATTGTATTCTAGTCTCTTCTCACCTTTTTGAGGGAGGTCTTCACCGTGAGTGGACTGTTCACCTGTTCATTTTTCTTCATAGTGTTTTTTTCAGTCTTTCTCTTCTGTCTTTCCTGTTGTTTTTGCTCCAGAGTCTTCTGTAGGGCCAGCACTCTCTCATCTCTACTCACAGCCTCCCGCAGTTCACTTCTCCTCCTTTTCTCTTCTTGACTGAAAACACAAATCCTTCAGCCCCTCTTTTCCACATATTAAACTCAACATAATATATTCATATGTTGAATTACTGTGGGGTCCAAAGGTCTGAGACCACTAGGGAAAATCATTTTCCAAAATACATTTGCCTTTTTCTAATGTAATGTTTTTTTTTTTCCATTGTAAGTTATATTAGCAGTGTAACAAGTGAAAAGTTAGATAGAAAAATTAAGATGAATTTGGAAATCCCCCTTTTTTTTTCTTTTTTTTTTTTTTTTTTTTTTACTCTGAATGCTTGTCCAAAACCTGAAAGGGCAAAAGACCTAATACAGAGCCTTGTGGCACACCATAGTTTACCATTGTAAGACTTATTGCGTAAACTAGTCTTAGTCATCATACTTTTTTCTTTAATATTGTTCTTAACTGTTTTAAGTGAGTTACATAAAAAGGTAGATCGGGCTAATTTCATCCTGAAGAGTAAGACTGATTGCCTCCTTGACTAACCACTAGTTGGTCATACTAGTACTTAAAGGGATATTTTTTTTTTCTAAATAGGCTCATTTTACAACTCCCCCAGAGTTAAACAGTTGAGTTTTACCATTTTTGAATCCCTTCAGCCGATTTTCTGATATTAAGAAGAACATCAGTAACTAACCAGACAGTCTCTGGTCCCATTGACTTCCATAGTATATATATGGAAGTCAATGGGTATCCCTTTAAGACATGATGTAACATAATGGCTATGTTTATGCAACTCTGTTCCACTACCCAGACAGTCATAGTGATCTAAGAGGGAGGATTTGAACCAGGCTTTACTCAAGAGAATTTACTGATTTAATTAGTGACCAGAAATAGTGCAAAATCTTTTGTTTATTATCATTCTAATCTGTCTTCTTTTAATTTTTTTCACAGGTTTAAATAGAAAAAACATTTTTAATGTCTGAAATGTTCTTTTCGACCCGACCGTAGGCTGTCGAGGGACAGGTGTGATTGGACAGGTATGTTACCTGCGAGAAGCAGCATGTTCTGCCAGACTTCTGCGTAGGGCGATATTGTCCAGCTGTTCTAGTAGTAGCTGCTCTTTGAGTTGTTTCTCCTGTAAGATCTGCTGTCTTCTGTCCTCCAGTTCAGACTGTTCCGACTCTCTCAGGAGTGCCAAACGCTCCCGCAGCTCCGCCAGAGACATCTCACACAGCAAATCATGACCTGCAGTCTGAACAACATGGTTAGATCATAATGATGCATGCATTCATTTTCATCCCCATAGGCAGCTATACAATACGGAGGCGTATTGCATTCACTTGAAGAAAAAAAATCTACTCTGTTTTTCTGAATTAACGAGTTAATTTTTCATGAGAAAAAAAATTTGCTCTGTTTTTCTGAATTAATGAGTTAATTTTTAATGAGAAAAATTTTTTTTGCTCTGTTTTTCTGAATTAACGAGTTAATTTTTCATGAGAAAAAAAGTTTTTGCTCTGTTTTTCTGAATGAATGAGTTAATTTTTCATGAGAAAAAATTTTTTTGCTCTGTTTTTCTGAATTAACGAGTTAATTTTTCATGAGAAAAAAAGTTTTTGCTCTGTTTTTCTAAATAAATGAGTTAATTTTTCATGAGAAAATTTATTTTTGCTGTTTTTCTGAATTAACTCATTAATTCAGAAAAACAGAGCAAAAAAAATTTCTATTAAAAATTAACTCATTAATTCAGAAAAACAGAGCAAAAAATTTTTTCTCATGAAAAATTAACTCGTTAATTCAGAAAAACAGAGCAAAAAAAAATTTTCTCATGAAAAATTAACTCATTAATTCAGAAAAACAGAGCAAAAAAATTTTTCTCATGAAAAATTAACTCGTTAATTCAGAAAAACAGAGCAAAAAATTTTTTTTCTCATGAAAAATTAACTCATTAATTCAGAAAAACAGAGCAAAAAAAAATTTTCTCATGAAAAATGAACTCGTTAATTCAGAAAAACAGAGTAGATTTTTTTTCTTCAAGTGAATGCAATATGCCTCCGTAATACAAAACTTCTGATTGGTAATGTAACTCATTTTATTCTATTTTTGATTAAATGTACAAGACAATACACTAACCTCAGTGTCATCCACAAAGTTTTGTCTGACCAGAGAGACTGTCTCAAAAGCACGAATCTGACGGATGAGCTCCATCTTCCGGCTCAGCTCGGCCTGAGCTTCTTCCAGAGCCTGGCTGAGGAGTTCCCTGCTCTGCTCTGAGACTTCCTTAACTGCTCAGGAGAAAAACAGTGTTTTAACGTCATTTCATGCCTTCTGAAAATATTATACCATACGTATCATCCACGATCGTTATACCTATCCGTTGTTTGATTTCTTGTAGCTGAGCTTTGGCGGCTTTGGAGTTCTTGTGACCATCTGCCACTTGTTGCACAAGCTCTCTCATTTCCTTTTCCTCCTTCAGACGTTTCTCTGCATACTTGCGCATGAGGTGTTCAGTCTGAAACAATCACACATTACATCATCATAAACATAATTCAGACTGAGTCATGTATTGCTGCAAACACTGATGTTTGTTATGAGATCACCTCCTCTTTAGTCTGCTGAGCATTATGGTGGTTACGCTCCAAGACGCGCTCTCGTGCAAGAACGGCCTCTTCATGGCTGATCCGCCCCTCCAGTCTTCGGCGCTCCAGTTCAGCAAGTTCCTCCTGTAGATCCTTCTCCTTCATCTCCTTCTGCCACTGCAGGTACGCAGATGGCTCGCTTGCACCCTGTGACAATCGCTCGAATCTGAACACCCAAAATATAACACACAAGGACTTTTCTTAGACCACAGTGTAAAACATCTCATGATTGACTGTTCTGATTGAGCTTGAAGTGTTAGTTTACCCAAAAAACTCATGATTTTATTAGTCACCCTAAAAGAGCCAAAAATGCAGTCCACATGACTCAAGAACCAATGCTGTTTGCGCCTATTGATATTAGACATGCACCATATTTAAATATATTTATAGATTTGATAGATTTTTGAATTTCACTTTGTTCCTTGCTCAAAACTGTTGATAATCTCAGAAGACTTGGCATGGGTCAAACTATATTTAGATTTATTATCCCATTAACCAGAATATTTATCTCCCATTCAAATATACAAAAAATTCAGTCCAAATATTTAAGATCATACATTAAAAGGTATATGAGCATCATACCAATAGGTGAAAATGTAAATTGAAAAAATATTCTTTCTAAATATATAATTTTGTTTTAATTACAGCAGCACTCAAGCTAGCATGAACTATACCTTTGTGCAAAATCATTTAAAAAGGTCAAAGGACCCAATACAGAGCCTTGCAGTACACCATTGTTCCCTTAACCAAAGAAAGTGGTAGCAAATAAGCTGTTTTGTACAAATGAGTCAATGACACAAATCTTCCTATTTGATAATTGATATAGGAATAGTGCAACATATATATATATATATATATATATATATATATATATATATATATATATATATATATTCCTCACACATGTTATGTTATATAGACAGTTTAAGGTGCTTTTTGTCATTTTTTTTTTAAAATTAAACAACATTCATTGATTCACTGTCATTATACGGAAAAGAGCAGCATGAATATCTCCTGTGTTACATGGGTGAAAACAAGTTTTGGAAATATGAGAGCAAATGAATAATGGTTAATAATTAGTCCAAATAAATTTAGAATTCATTTTATTGTCTGAAGTGATTGCATGGCACTTTGGTCAGCAGTGGCTGTTTTAAACGTGATCTATAAATGAAAGTGCCTTGCCTTCATTTGTGTAATTGTACAGAGAAAAATAACTCAATATGATTACCTTTGTACCTCTTCTTCCAGTTGACGATTATATAAAGCTGCCTCTCGCAGAATGGCTGTTGTGTTCAGTCTGACAGGTAAGCTGTTTGCCTGTGCCATTGAAAATAAATATAAATACGCTATTTAACTGCACAAATATACTCCGTAGTAGAAAATAAGTTCAAATGCACACTTTTTTTATCAATTAATTTTCTATCTAATCAAAATTACCTTTAGGGTGGCAGCAGGGCTGCCAGAAGTATAAATCTGGTCAAATTTGAGGTCTGCATCATTGCTTTGAAGAATCTGGGATATTACGTTCTATTCAGCAAAAAATATTAAAACAAATAATAACTTTCAAATTCTGTGATGATGTTAAAGACAAAACATAGCTGATGAATTCAATTGTGCTGTAAGACACAACTAAAGACTGACTTGAGTTTTCTCAGACTTCTGTGGGTTTGCACAGCTGAATTGCTGAGAGTTTGCTTCATTCAGGACTTTCTAATGGAGTAAATGAGGTACAGGTCTGAGCACAAAGTAAATAATGATAAACAAAATTAAAAGCAGTTTCCAGGTATGTCTCTGTTTGGGCTTACTAAAGCTTTTTGTCGGTTCCTCTGCCTCATCTCATCCAGAATCTCTGGTTCCTTTGGAGATCTGTGAGTTGTGACTGGTACCTGAGGGAGGAAATGCCACAATCAGCATTGTTTTACAATCTAAAGTGAACAATGTCTGTATGTCACAACGCAGTGGTTCTTCTCAGCCTTTTTGACTCAAAGGCCACCCCTCCCCCTATTTAGGCTCAAATATTTCTGGTATTTCTGCTGTAATTATGACAAAGTTGCAATTATCGTTTTAATCGAAATACTCAGTCATCTGCGACCACCTTGGAAATTTTCTGAGGCCTCCTAGTTGGCCTCGGACACATTGCACGGTCATATTGGATTGGTCTGATGCTGAAAATAAAGGTTTGTAGCATTAAAAATCTCCCAAATTTGGTAAAATAAATATTTTAGCCTTTTATAAAAAACAACCAATGCAATAATAAAAAGATGATTGAATGAAAGAAAGGATTTTTAAATGACTGATTCACTCATTGTTTCAAGTGTTCATTTTGACACTTGCCGGCTTGAACTTGTCTTGCTGTGGAATGACTTCAGGAGCAGGGAGCGGTCGAGCTTTGGGCTGGGTCAGATCAAATTCCCTGGGTTCTGTGTTTTTCCTGGGAGACTTTTTCGGCAGATTTCCTCTGCCCATTTTTCTGGCAAGCTGATCCAGCAGCACCTCGATCTCACTGCACCATCTAAGAAGAAGAATAAAGACATCTGCACAATGATTGCTAGCCAGTAGCAACCATTAATATATAACGTGCAAACACTGTCCATGTTTAGAGCAGGATATATTACACGTTCTGGCATCAGGCAAAACTGTGTCACACCTCTTCAACCCTCCAGCGATGAATTCATACTCTCATTAAAAATGTAATGATTCAACATCCACCTAATTAATATACCTAATTCAGTTAATGACTTGCAAACACTTTTCACAATTCAGTAATGGGATACATATTTCTTTTGTGATTTAATTTTCAAAGCATTTACATACTAAATGCAACACCATCGGCTAACATTATCAAGTGTGCACATGCATCACACTCTAAAAAATGCTGGGTTGTTTTAACCCAATTTTGGGTCAAATATGGACAAACCCGAAATGTTGGGTTAAAAATGTAATGTAAAAATTTAACCCAACGGCTGGGTTAGTCCATATTTGACCCAAAGTTGGGTTAAAACAACCCAGCATTTTTTAGAGTGCATGATGTAAAATGATGTACAGCTCTTTTCCTGTTATTATTATTATAATTTTACCTCAGCAGTGGGGTGATCCAGTTATTATCTACGATGGCAACATCATAGATGTGGCTCCATTCCCTCTGGATATGTGTTGTGAGGTTGTTGACGTTAAAGAAAAAACTCAGGAACTGAGGGACCGGACAGGACATTTGCACCATAACAGAGACGGAAAGCAAATGATGAGGAAAACAATGTTGAAATACTTTAGTTATGATTGAATTCCACTGTAATATATTTTTAATAACTCAAAATCATATTCTTAAATCTCATTATGTATGTGCTTTGCTTACTTTGTGCATTTTTGAGATGTCTAGAGACTTGATAATTCTACTGAAATGATCCAGGCCAAGATCATCAAGATGGAAGATTGCAAGATAACAAACAACTGATAAAACCAAACAAGACCAAAGAAGATCTGTTACCTTTTTGGATGTCTGACATTAAGTAACTGTTAATATAGTATACATTTAATGTAATACATGTATTGTATTACATTTAATGTAATACAATACATGTAATATTAACCGTAATATATATATATATACTGTATATATATATATATATATATATATATATATATTAACAGTATTTTAAGCTTGGAAATTACAGTATTTGTACTATTACATTAACAAAATACACGTACCACTGAACAGGTTTCGGTCCACTCTGAATAGAATTTGTCCATGGTGCATGTAAAAGATGTTGACCACAACATCCAAAAGCTTTTTGCGCATGATACATCCATACAAAGTATCAATAATAAACTTTTGGTCAGCAGAGGAATGATTCTAAAAGGCATAAGACATAAAATATGATGGTTTGATGACTCTAATTTAAAAGCGCATAAAACAGATGGAGATATGTATTGAGGAAAATAGACATTGTGTACCTTAAGATCCTTGGCAGCATCCTGTGTAAAACTGTCAATGCATTGTTTGTCTTCTTGAAACTCATCCAGGAGCCTTGTAACTTCGTTGACAAGTTCCCTGTAGTTCTTCATCCTCGCTGGATTTCTCAGCCAAACTAAATATACTTTCGGACCAATAGACTCAATATCTGATTCAGATTATTGGAGCCTCTTAATAAAATTGATCACTATTGAACAACAATTCTAAATTGAACCACATGAATAGGTTAACATGTATGATAATGTCCTCTGAAAAACATCTACCTGGCAACGACAGTGTTATTGTTGCCTGGAAACAGCGAGGCGGTCCGATGACTTTTCCTGAGAGGACGTCATTCTCCAGCGCTATTCCCTTTGTTCTCTTTTGTCCCAAAAAATAACATTAAACATTTAGTAAAAAAAAAATTATATATATATAAATCATATTGATCAAAATAATTTAAAGAGCATTTTTATACCTTAAAGTGATTTACAAAAAAGGTGAAACAAAATGTGTGGAAAAATTAAAAAGAATGTTGACAATAATATTTTCCTTTATTTGCTAATTTATGTAAACTAAACGGATGAGCGATAAAACAACTGTACTAAACCATATAGGAATAAAAAAGCGGATTGTTTGGCAACCCGAGTGTAATCGGTCAAGCAGCGCGAGCGCAACTTCCGTAGTCAGACTGAGCTCGAGCTCAAAAGCTTAGTCATGAGCAGCCTGTGTGTTTGGGGACAAAGACAACCGCTCGACTGCTGGAAATAAGGGCAGAGTCCGTGCCCGCGATTAATTAATAGTGGATTTACACTGTCCGTGTCTGTTTTTTGGCTTCTACTTAACACTGTCAGCACGGCATTGTTGAAGAGCAGGCGCTAGCTTAGCTCGCTAGCTGTGTGTTTGTGTTCGGGTTTAAAGGTCCGGTTCGGGTTCGGGTTTGGTACGGAGCTGTCGCTAAACTGGCGAGGTGACCAATGATGAATCGGTTCCGAAAGTGGCTGTATAAGCCAAAGGTAAGATTGCCATCAGTTCAATTAATAAATACTCATCAAATAGCTTTATTATTAAGTGAATGTGTTTTAAAACCTAGCGAGTGTAAGGTACTTAGGGCATCATATGATGTGGGCATCCTACCTAGACAGCAATTTTGGGGCGTCGTATAATGCAAGCTGTCTACATAAATATCTTATTAGCATCACATGATGTGAGCTGCCTACCTAGACAGCTTTTTTGGGGGTATCATATGCCAATATTCTAGGTATGATTTTCTGGTTGTTTTGAATCACAACCCTTTATTATTGATTCAGATGACTTTGTCCATTCATAATGAAAGGACAAAATCATCATGTTCTCAGCTGTTTTACTAGCATTTGCTTTGAAATATATTATTTATATTCAGTTTTTATTAATTTTGCATTTAATTTTAGTGCTTCGACTTCAACTTATTTCAGTTAGCTCAGCTGGTTGACAAAGCAACATTTCTCGTTTTAGTTTGTTTTTCATCTAATATTTGTATTTTATTCAAACTTTATTTTAATGTAATTATTTTGTAGTTGAAAATGTATATTAATATGATTAGGTTGGACGACATATATTGCTGCATTATTTCATCTCGTATTTTTATTTTATTTAAACTTTTTAAATTAGTGTAAAGGTTTTTTAGCTGACATCACTAACCCTGAAAACACATATCAATACGATTAGTTTGGATGAGATATATTTCTGTACAGTGGCTGTGTGATCTTCCGATTTGTATTTCCACAACATATTAAGATCATATGGATTTACAAATGAACGGCTCGTCTTAAAATTTTCCTAGTCTCTACTGACATCCACTTCAAACATTTCAATGCTAACTTTCATTAACTCTACAGTAAGTAAATCCACTTCACCAGCTAATAACTCTTCGACAGAGATGCAGTAGAATTATACAGAGCAAAAACAGAAGTTCTAGTCACAATTCTAAAGATTGCTGTACGCTTGTTTCTCTGGAGCATAAAGTCTATAAGTCTATGGGTCATTGCCTTTGCTGAGGTTTAATAGCCCTTTGTGTGGCCCCAAACTTTGTTGCCGTCACCAATTTGTATTTTACACATCTAAAACCACATTTCACCACAGCTCATAACAGCTTTAGCTATGAAATACTCTTGCAATCCACACCTTGGCAACTAATGCAATTGCGGTTTGCCCCAGTTTTGTTGTGTAGGACCAGTTTTTAACCAGTTTCTATGAGAGATTAGGGTCACTTTTAGTCTAATACATTTTTGGGAACGTTTGACAGAATGTTAGAGCAGGAAAGTGTTTTGTTGGAATTAACAACCCCTTGAGATGTACAAACACTCATTGTCATTGGCCCATGGGTGCAGTTCTGCCTCTGTGACTCACTTGGATACATTCTTCCACAAACGTGCCTGTTGTCGTCATTGGGAGTGAACTACGGTATCAGACGCTCTAAAATTAATGTATTGTAAGTGTACAGAATCAGTAAAATAGAAAAGATTGTCTGTTGAAATCCACAACCAAAATTGTCACACAAAGATAAACAATATTGATTCCTTATGTGTTTGTGTAGGCCTTCCACATCTTTTAGTTCCCTATGCAACGCTTAGTTATTCTATGGTGATTTTGGAGTCTCTAGTGGTTTGTTTGCACCTGCGTGGGCATCATAGGGCGGCTGACCGGTTGAAATCAGCTTATACTCAGCTCAAGTTCATGTTCTAGCCACGTGCCACTTCCCATGCAAATTCATGTGCAGATTACAAACAGCCACAGTCCAGGAAACATAGATGTCCCGATTGGGAAACACTCCAAATCACAACTTGCAGATAACACTTAACTTTAGGTAGGCTACATTTTACAGGTTAGTTCTGCTTGCTTAGACAAACTTTGCTATTATTAATCTTTCTGTTTAAGGATAAGGAAGCTTGTGATATGGTTATGAATGATAAAGTATGCAGCTTGGAGAATTATGGGCTTTTACAATACAAAATATTATAATACGAAAAAAAAAAAAAAAGACTAGCAGTATTGAAACTGAGACCCGAGCTATATTTAAGGACCAGGACATCATATCAGCTCTAGACTAATCAACACTAAATTAATTATATGTTTTATTTTTAAATTTTTTTTTTTTCCATTAAGTGCACTGCCTGTCTTGGCCAGAATCCTCTTGTAAAAGAGATTTTAAATCTCAAGAGTTTTATTTCTGGTTAAATAATGCTAAATATTAATTATATATATATATTTATATATGTATAAATGTGTTTAATCAATTTGACAGCACTAATATATATATATATATATATACATACAGACAGGCAGACAGACATACATACTCCATGAAAATGGCCCTTGTGATAAGAAAAACATACATACAGACATATATGTATATATATTCATTCCATGAAAATGGCCCTTTTGATAAGAAAAACAATGACATATTGTCGTCATATTCTGTTTTTGATACTTTTGTGTGTGTGTGTATACCATAAAAAAAGTCCAATTCTTTGTGAGACACCAAGACCTTTGAAATGCACCTTGGTATCTATTCCCTGTCCAGTCTATGATGCAAGACAATGTTTTCTGTTGAGTGGCCAGTGGAGCAGAAGGGGTCCAAAGGTCTGAATCCTCATCAGTGCTCTTTAATCCAGTGCTGAAATCTATATCGTTACATTACATGCTCTTCTGATGTGTGGGAATATATTCAAGATGTGCGTATTCAAGAAAAGCGAATGTTTTTACACACAGTGCCAGAAACACACCGTACTGTAGGACTCTGATACTTGCTTACTTTAGCACCAGTTTGTTTGATCATCTGGTACTTGATTAGATAATTCAGACCATTTGCTTACATTTGCTTTCTTTTTTCATACAGAGGTCAGATCCGCAGCTGCTGGCCCTGTTCTACTATGCAGATGAGGAGCTGAACCAGGTGGCCACTGAGCTGGACAGTCTGGACGGCAGAAAGGACCCTCAGAGGTGTACCCTGCTGGTCAACCAGTTCCGCTCCTGCCAGGTTAATCACTTAATGGCCCCACAGTGCAGTGATTTGTCTTGTTTGGACAGTTTTATCAAGTGTTTGATTTCCATCCAATCTTTTTCCTCACTTGCAATGACAAGTTGCAAGGAAGATAAGAATGTGTTTGAAATAAGTCTCTTATGCTCACCAAGGCTGCATTTATTTGATTAAAAAATACAGTAATATTATGAAAAATTATTACAATTAAAAATGTTACATTTTATTATATTTTAAAATGTTGAATAGCTGAATTTTCATTCTCATTACTTCAGTCTTCAGTGTTACATCATCCTTCTAATATGCTCATTTGAACATTTCTTATCAATAACAATATTAAAAACGGTTGTGTTGCTTAATATTTTTATGGAAACTGACCTTTATTGCAGCTGCAGGATTCATTCCTTTAGTTTTTTATTATTATAATTTAATGAAATAATTTTAATGAATAAATATAAATAAATAAAATAAATATAAATAAATAAATATAAATATATAATTTGAATGAAATCTTACCGACCCCAAACTTTTGAATTGTGGTGGATAGTGGAATTCATTTTCCAATAAATACAGAAAATACCTTGAAACAGTTTACAGGATTTCCACAGTCGTTGAAAATTTTAAAATCATTATTTCCTGGTAAAGTATGGAAATTGAAAAAAATTCATGCGAATTTTTATAGTGAATATATATATGAAGAGTTCAGATGCAAAAGCCTCTAAGTGCCATTTAAAATTTTCTTCTAGAATGATCATTTTTATCAAGCTTGTATATTTAAGTTCAGTGATTTCACTTAAATGGCAATGATAATTACCTATTAATTGTTATTTAAGTGAAATTACTGAACTTAAATATACACGTTTGATTACAATCATCATTAAAGAAGAAAATTTCAAATGGCATTTAGAGGCTTTTGCATCTGAACTCTTCATATATATATATATATATATATATAAATAATTCTAATGATTTTCTTAAAAATCCTTATCCGGTAATCCCTTGAGTGGAATCGTCTGGGAAAAGTGGAAACATTGAAATTATAATCTCCCTTAAACCCTGTAAGTGAATGTTCTAACCCTGCATGTTGTGTATCTTCTCAATAAATGTGTAGGACAATGTGTTAAACATCATAAATCAAATTATGGATGAATGCATACCTGAAGACCGAGCCAACAGAGACTTCTGTGTGAAGTTCCCAGAAGAGATCCGCCATGACAACCTTGCCGGGCAGCTGTGGTTTGGGGCAGAGGTATTGCACACTAACTGCTTCCTTCAGAACGAGATCTTCCCTAGAGATCTTTCTTGTTAACTTTCAAAAGAACATGAATATAAAGAACTTCACAACATCAGTGCATCATAGCTGTCACATGTGGCCATGAATCAAGGCGGTGTAATCCATTAGAAGCAGAGACTATATTATCACTCTTCTCTCTAGTGCCTGGCAGCAGGATCGATCATCATGAATCGTGAAATCGAGAGCATGGCCATGAGACCTCTGGCTAAAGACCTCACCCGTAGCCTGGAGGAAGTGCGCAACATCACCCGAGACCAAGCGCTACGAGATCTCAACAACTACACAGACCGCATGAAGGAAGCGTTACGTCAGTTTGACGGCCTCTTCGCTGAGTTCGAGCTTAGGTACCTTAAAATATGTACAGCTGTTTTGATTTTTGCATCCACTTATGATGATATATTTATGAGGACGACTAGACTGCTTTTATGCTTTTGGACGGTTCATAAATCATTGCAAGGTATCTTTATTGGTATTAATGTTATCATACACAAGCAGGTTAGCTTTGCAAACATGTCACTTCAGCAGACAATTAAAAGTATTATTACAAAACGTGAAAGTAATGTAGTCTGTGTCCTGTTGTAGCTACGTGTCAGCCATGGTGCCTGTGAAGTCCCCTAAAGAGTATTACATCCAGCAGGAGGTGATTGTGCTCTTCTGTGAGACCGTTGAGAGGTGAATATTCAGGTCTTGGAACTACCTCGCAATATAATACTCAACATGATGAGTTTAAAAGAAAGGAGAAGAATCATGATTCTTTATGCATTAATTAAATGTGTATTGTGTTTATATATTATAATAAGTAATAGTAATTATATTCATATATACCGTATTAATGTTTTCCAATCTCAAGGGCCCTGAAGCTTGATTATCTTACACAAGACATGATTGACGACTACGAACCAGCTCTTATGTTTACAATTCCTAGACTTGCCATTGTCTGGTAAGTGATATGTCATTGTAATTATCAGTTTTCTTCATGTCAACCACGTCCAAATCCCTCTTTAAGTATTTATTTTCCTCACACTATGGGTCATCCTCTTTTCTTTCATATATACGTTTACTCGCCTGGTAATGGTATCATGTGTCATGTTATCTCTTATTAGTGGCCTTGTTATCTACTCTGAAGGGCCTCTTAACCTCGACCGCAAACCAGAGGACATGTCTGAACTCTTCCGGCCCTTCCGTACTTTGCTGAGAAAAATAAGGTACAGTTTGTGTTCACAATAGTTAGTCACTGACGCCTCTCATTTGGCCATCTAATGCAGATATAGCTTGTTTTTCAGGTTTTTCAATGCTTTTATGGTAAGGCTTTATAAATTTGCATTCAACGGTTTTGCTGGATTGATTTGGCATTTTTCTTCAGTTAGGTTTTATTTTTGCTAGTTTTTGCTTCTTTTTATTTGATTAGTTGATATTTGTACCTGAAGTCTACGCCACACTGCAACATCTTGAGGCTGTTGACACCAAACGCTCCATTTGTTCTGTTGTCCCCGCCAAACACGGAATTTTTCCGGGTTTAATGAAAAAACGCATCTGCGCCAAACACGGAATTTTCCGGGTATCCGTGTTTTAGGTGGTATACGGTAAGGAAGACCCGCGCGCATGTCCTGAATGAGTGCGCAACTCTTTGATCAGAGAAACAGATTGCAATCGTCTCAAACAGTGGAGTAGTGAGAATGTATCAGACAGACAATGCAGAGGTATATGGCTGAAGTACTGGAGGTTAATGGACTCGGAGTCCGATCACTCTTTATTTGATAATTCTGAATCTGATCGGGACGAAGTAGTCAGTGAGAGAGATGCACATGTTGTCACAGAAAGTTCTAGCCATGGACGTGCCGCAGATAGATCGTATAATATTATGACACTATAATATGTATGTGTGTGTGCAGGCATTTATGTGTGGCTGTCTAAATATGAAGGTGTAATTGTCAAATTATTTCTCTCTTTGTGCACATTTACCACATTGTAATATGTATTTGTGTGTGTGTGTGTGTGTGTGTCTAGGCCTGTTTATTGTAATTCCAATTATTCATTATTCACAGGTAGAACACAGAGAGGCAGAGGCAGAAGTTTTATTGCAAAAGTTACATTTCCCTTACATCCTGGGAAATTTGATATATTTTACATTTATTTTATGTTTTTAATTTATTTTGGAAAGTTTTACATATGAAGGAAACAACATCTGAATGTATTCTGCTTTTAAATGCACTTGTTTGATAAAAATACCTTTTTCTTAGTTTTTTGTCCAAAATGTTGTGTTTTTGACAAAACCTACCTCTGTTCAAGAGGCAATAAAAAAAGAACAGATGAAGATAAAATAAAAACGTTTTTTTTTTTTGCCTAAAAGCAGAGGCTCAGATCTTTATTTTTATATATATCATCTTCATATATTCATGGAAGAAAATATTCAGCGGGGCATTCAAATTTAGCGAAAATCGTCAAAAACCCTGGCGGTGGCTGGCAACTTTTTTTTAAAACGCTGGCGGGGAAAGAGTTAAGTAGAGTGGAGTATGTCAGAAATTGAACTGCGTTAATTAACAGTCGGTGTCTCGTTGAGCCGAGCAATGCCACATCCAGTCTAGACAGTATCACTGCTTATAATGGGTTGCCTTTTATTTTGTTGCACCACTCTCATCGTTTTCCAATTCAGAGTCTGCTATAGATTTAAAATATCTGTCTTTGTATTGGTTGTCAGCCATAACATGAATACAATAGAGTGAGAATTAAATGTCCTTATAACTGTAATGAAATTTAGGTGCTTTACTATTGCCGCCTGCTTATTCAAAAAAGATGATGGAGATGAGATTTGCTCTCTAATCTACAATGCATCATAGAGTAAACACTGTCATAATTCATCAGCAGTAGATCATAAGCTATTGTTTGGAATAAATGTGTTGTATTCATTGATTGCAAACTGCTCTGAAACCACAAGCCTGTTGAACGAGCAAGAAAGAAGCGACTTTGAACGTGCAGCGCTTACATTTGTGTAATCACATTAGGCTGTATCTAACAATCTAATGTAATGATTTTTTTTCTTTCCTAAATTTAAGACTTCTTAAGGTGATCATTAAAGGGATACTCCACTTTTTTCGGATATAGGTTCATTTTACAACTTCCCCAGAGTTAAACAGTTGGGTTTTACCGTTTTCGAATCCATTCAGGCGATTTTCTGATTTTTAGAAGAATATCAGTAACCAGACAGTTTCTGGTCTCATTGACTTCCATAGTAGGCAAAAATATATACTATGGTTAGTATGGTAGTCAATACGCTGAATACATTCGAAAACGGTAAAACTCGACTGTTTAACTCTGGATGAGTTGTAAAATGAGCCTATTTCCAAAAAAAGTGGAGTATCCCTTTAAGATGTTTTATTATGCAGTTTTAGATATTTAAGGCTTTTTATGATCTTGCATTTCATGAAACTGACTTTTTTGCTTTTAGGACCTACGGGGGCTTTTTTTATTTGCACACATCTAAATGCATTTTACAATTCGCACACATCCACATCTATTTTTGGTCGCAAAAGCGAGTGAAACACTTGCACTGTCAAGTCCGGGAATAGCTTTGAATATGCTTACTCATGAGGAAAACGATTGAATCTCACGTAAAAAACATGAATTTCCTTGCCTACAGTCTTTATGGTAGTTCGGTAGAGCTGCCATTCATAACTTTTTAAGCACTGAGATTTTAAAATTTAAACCATATTAACTTTTTATGTAGCAACTGAAGAGCATGGCTGGTTTCTGAATCATATAATTGTTCTTCACATCAGGGATCTGCTGCAGACTCTAACAGAAGAAGAGCTCATGACGCTGGAGCGTAGCCTCTGCATCTCCCAGGATGGGGATTTTCCTGCAGTTTCCAGCTTGCCATCGACCAATGACCCAGCCGCTTCCACCGGTCCTGAGAGCCATCTAGAGACTCTGGAAAAGGACGACAGAGTTAAGGAGGTGGTGGATCTCACACTTTGTGTAGCCCAGGAAGAAGATTCTGTATGGAAGGAGGATGAGGAGAAGATGGGGATTCCCGAGACCTCAAGTGAGAGTGAGGAAGAGGAGACCACGGATATAGACTTGGCTTGCTCCATGCAGTATGATGAAGAAGAGATAGAGCAACTTAATATGATGGTGCATCAAGTGGGGGACGAAATGTCTACACTTCTTTCCCCTCCGAGTCAGAGTCAGTCCCCAGCCCGCCAGCCTCGACCCTACAGAGGAAGTAGCCTCGACGGTTCCAGTGCCGCCTCCAGCCAGCAGGCATCTCCGCGGAGAGTCCCGGGCTCCTACCATGATGACGATAGACTTTTCTTTATGGACGACCTAGAGTCTGGTATAACTAGCGAACTGTGTCGTGGACAACTTCCCCTTCCTACAATATGCCTCAGATCCCCTGACCACAGCAGACCGGCCCCGTTGACCGACTCATCGTGTAATGGTTGGTTGACAATCTGCCAATCAAGCAACACCACCAATCTGGAATGTCAGCGCAAACTGAGCCAATCGGATGAGTCCTTGGGGAACTCCGACAGGTCACCCATGGTGAATGGCTGGGAAGGGTTACAGGGGGAAGAAAGTGTACAGACTGCCGAGGAAATCGCCAATCGCACCGGTGGAATGAAGCTTTCCGCCACTGTTATTTTTAACCCTCATTCCCCAAGCTTGACCGACTTGGCCGTTGTCTTGCCTCATTCAGCCGATGCTTCTGAACCCGGTGAGGGTGGGGCTTTAGTTGCCACTCAGTGCCTGCTTAATTCCTGTGTTTGCTGTGCTGGCGGATGCGTCGACAACCACGAGGATGCCATGGATCCGGCTGGCCGGGGCATGGCGCTGGGATTTGATAAGCACAAGCTCACTATCACAAGCTCTGTCATCAAATCGGCAGTAGCGGCCGCCAGCCCAGGGAAGGGAAATGGACATTTACCGCTCACCCTGCCCCCTTCACAGGGCCACCTCACCCCTTCTGTACCGCACTGTTCCTTGCAGAACCAATCGAGAGATGAGGAGGGCAGTCAGGACTGTACCCACTATTCCTGCTGTGATAAATGCATCTCAGAGGTTCTTCTTGCTCAGGATAGAGGCTCGGGACAAGGGGAGGGAGGACCCAGTTGCACCCATCAGGACGCAGGATGCCGGACACAATCTAACACTACAGTAAAAGGGAAATTGGAAGGTTTTGGAAAACAGTCCAAAGAAGATAACAGAAAGATATCTAGGTTTGTTTGTTTATTTGTGTCGAGCATGCCTATTTTTGTTTGTTTTGTACCCGAGTTGATTTTATTATGAAAGTTGCCATTCTTTTCAGTTCTCATATTTCATTTTCATCTGTTGCCCCCCCCCCCCCCCACCCTCCCTCACATGTTTTTCAAAATGGCCCGCTGCAGTTCTCTGGAGTCCCCCCTCAGTTCTGTCCCCAGCAGTGAGATTGACGGTGTTTCTGTCACTACATGCAGTTTTTCAAGTTCATACACACCCAGGTAAACTTCTATCTGATGGGCAATGGTGGAATATGTTAGTACTGCAGCAGGGATGATTTTTCATAGGCCAACCTGGAAGTTAGCAATAATCTTCACATCTGAACACAGGTTTTCGTGAATTTTAATTTCTGAAGCTTTTTAGGTTGAAAGACCACCAGTAAGCTTCTAACAACTAAAAAGAAAAAAAAAAACACTCTCTTTTATTTAAAATCTACTAGTTGGGAACGTCATGTTCAAAGAGCTCAAGGCTGTAAAACCGGACTAGTTAGTAGATGAATTTTCCTGTTTGGTGTGATGACGTTTAATGTCCACAACAATCTCTCTAGTCTAGCCACTTGTGAGCAACTACCTTTTTCAAGACGTGATTTTTAAATTTATAAAAATGATATGCATAATTTATCTTGGGCTCTTGTTTTGTAGGGAAGGACGCATTTTAACAGTGGCATTTAAGCAAAAAACCTGTTTTAAAAAAAAAGCAAAAAAAAAAACAATTGACTTGGGGTGATGGAGCCGAAGTGCAAAAATGCTGGGATTTTAGTTTTGTCCAACAGGTTTTTAAACACTCACCCCTTTCGTCATTGATACACCCTCCCAAAAGCCAATGGTTAAGTCAATGGTGCTGGCTGAGATGTTGCACAGTAAAGTTTTAATAGCTCATATCACTGCCATTTACCTTAGGCATAGAGTATAATGCTAGTAGCAATGCCATGGTGTTAGGTTCATTTCTCAGGAAATGCTAGAATGAATGCAGTGTAAGTTGCTTCGGAGACTCTAGCAGTGTGTTCTTTTGACCATTTTTGTTAGCACCCTTTGTAATGACATGACAATGCTTTGAACAACCTCTCAGAATTATGTCTTGTTGCATATAGCAATGCCCTGGCTACCACCCTAGCTTTAATACATTTACTTTAATGCCTATGTGAAAATGAAGTCCTAAAACTTGCTCTGTGATTCCAGCAAGGTATTACACAAAACCCACAGTGTTCCCTCTGCCATAGGGTCACACTTTCTGGATTAACTTGATTATGTGAATTTCTCTCTTGAGAAAGGCCAACAGTTAGTCCCATTAGTCATACTTCATTGACCTTTTTCAAATCACTCTTATAAATTATATTATTAGCCTATGTTTTTATTATTATGATTATTCATTTTAAATCTAATATTCTTCTCTTTCAGCCCTGTCAGTAGCCTGACAACCAGCTCGGACATGTCTGAGGATCTGGATCACCAGGAGATTCAAGTGGCTTTGCAAGCTGCCAAACTTGCTGCTCACAACAAAATTCGCTCACGTTTCCATAGCAGTAGTGACCTCATCCATCGTCTTTTTGTCTGCATATCAGGTGGGTCACCTAATGACATTGCATTAACATGGATTTGTTGCCTGTGAAGCTTTTGTGATGTGAACTGGTAAAGCCATGTTTGAATGGTGAAGAATAATTGATGCCTTGTTTTCAAATATCTGAAGGTGTGGCCGATCAGTTGCAAACAAATTATGCAAGTGACCTGCGAAGCATCTTAAAGACTCTATTTGAGGTTATGGCTACAAAAGCTGACCAAGGTGACAATGAGAATCCCAAGAAAGGTAAGTGAGGCACGCTTCTGAAGGATATTGGAAACTATAACAGCTTGTTTTCATCATTCAATGTCCGACATCATTAGTTTAATATGCTGTTTGATATGCACCTCAGGTCCGTGTCTGGGTAGTGCAGTTCTGGAAGATTGCGCTCTCTGTCAAGAGACAATCTCTTCATCAGAGCTCGCTGCCAAAGCCCGAGAGGGACAGTTTGAAGGTTAGTTCAGTACAACACCTATATGCTTACAATATGAAGAAAATTTTTATTTTGATGTTCACGATTCAAAACCTAGGATGCATCTGAAACCTCATACTTTGAGTTGGTACTTCATTTGAAGTAATTTATGAATTATGTTTCAATGCAATGTGGATGTACTACTCTCATGTGGCCTAATATGAGAGTTGCGTCACTCACCCACCATTTACAAATCCTCTCCCGTGTCCTCTATGCCATAAAAGCGGGGTCCGTGGATCCCTGGTGGTCCGTGAACTATAGCCAGGGGGTTCGCGAATTGATTTATATAACAGCCTGACCGTTTTTTCCGGACAAGTCGTGTTTTTTTTTTATCACCTGAAAACATGCTATTTATTCCAAAGCAACTTATATAATGCATTTAACGTCAAATAATACAAAGTAGACACTTAAATGTCTATAGATAGATGATCTATCTGTATTTCTTATGTCTGTGCGTCAAGTGGACTATTCGCTGTGAACCCGCATCCTGTTGTTTTCTTTATTTTTAAAAGGCATGACTTTTTGTATTATAATGTAGCCTATACACAAATAAAAAATGGACAATTTACCATTTTGAATGATGTACTTTTGTCTTATCTGTATGACCATACATAAGAGTATTTCTTTGTTTCCACTAATGAGGAAAAAATCCCAAGTAATCACGGGGTGGGTGGGAAGTTTGGGGCGTTTATGGGATAGTAAAGAATCTTTTGTATGCACATTTCAGAAGTAGTAGGTCATCGGCTTTCTGCCTACTGTTTTATGAAGCTGTGAATTTGGACACTTCTCTTTTCACATACTTTTTTGGCCTACTTGATTTTGTTGGGAAGTTGGCATATCTGTGATCCATACCATCTAGACAACATTTTAAACCATCATAGGCTTGCTTCATATAAAAAGCTATTTATCAGAAGTTTTTAAGATATGCTATTTCTTCAAAGTATGTGGACTTCAGGTTAACATGTTTGACTATTCCAGTAATTTCTGTGAGGACAAATCCTAACGTTGAACCACACAATGACATTCTAAAGAATTGTGGGATTTTAAACAAGAGCCTCATCGAAATCAGGCTCTGAGGCCCTGGTTGCACCTGGTCTTAAGATGCATTTTGGTCGATTAGATCTCAAGTAGATGAGGGAGGCACATACCCGTTTACTTTTGGTGTCTTTTTTGTCCACTTTTGAACACTTCTGTTCAGGTTTTTTTCATAGGGAGGGTTGTTCGAAGTTGAATGTGTTTTTCGACTGCCTCTAGAAGTGGTTGAAATCGGACAAGCTCAGATTGTGATCCGATCGAACAAAACGCATCTTAAAACCAGGTGAACTGGGCCTGATATTGAAGTTAAAGGGTTAGTTCACCCAAAAATGAAAATTAAGTCATTAATTACTCACCCCCATGCTGTACCAACCCCGTAAGACCTTCGTTCGTCTTCGGAACACAAATGAAGATATTTTTGATTAAATTTGAGAGCTGTATAACTACCACATTGGCTCCTAAGGGACTGCCTCTTGACGGCCCAGAAAGTCAATGAAGAAAATGTTTAAATATCCCAAGTGACTACCGTGGCTCAACTATATGTTTATCAAGCGACGCGAATACTTTTTGTGCGAAAAAACAAACAAAAATAACGAGTTTATTCGACTATTTCTTTTCTTCCTTGTAGGCCAGAACGAGACTTCCTTATAGATTTCCACGACGCATGCGCGAGAATTGCGATCTGCTTACACCAGCTTACACTACTTCAGATCGCAATTCTCGCGCATGCGTCGTGGAAATCTAAGGAATTCTCGTTCTGGCCTACAAGGAAGAAAAGAAATAGTCGAATAAACTCGTTATTTTTGTTTGTTTTTTCGCACAAAAAGTATTCGTGTCGCTTGATAAACATATAGTTGAGCCACGTAGTCACTTGGGATATTTAAACATTTTCTTCATTGACTTTCTGGGCCGTCAAGAGGCAGTCCCTTAGGAGCCAATGTGGTAGTTATACAGCTCTCAAATTTAATCAAAAATATCTTCATTTGTGTTCCGAAGACGAACGAAGGTCTTACGGGGTTGGTACAGCATGGGGGTGAGTAATTAATGACTTAATTTTCATTTTTGGGTGAACTAACCCTTTAAGACTGTGTTATGGTAGTATTCTTAAATTTAGTAAATTTGTTGAGTTTAGTGATTAGTACATTTTATTGCATTTCTTCTTCTTTTAAGCTATTTTTGTACATCAAGTTAAACTGAAAAGGAGAAATGTTTTATTTTATGATATGTTATGAAGATAAACGGTGATTACAGCACCAGCCGACATTTATCAGTTGTTGCAACCCTTTCTCCGTTCTTCTTTTAACATCAGACCCTCCTGAATGGGTGCCAGATGAGGCCTGCAATTCCTGCATTGCCTGTGAAGCGCCATTTACAGTCATCAGAAGAAAACATCACTGCAGGAGCTGTGGAAAGGTACAGCAGTCCAATCTTGCAATAGACTGCTCCAATTCAGAACTTATAAACTTACAAATCTCAAACTACTTTATATGAATATATTTTTTTAAGTGAGCATTACATTTTACCAAAATGTATAAATTGGCAAAATAAGCAAACATAAATGAATGTGTAATGTAAGATTGTGAATTTAAACACACACTCACTCTATAGCTTTCGGCTGAAAGAACATTGTTTGTAACAATAATTTCACCTGATTCAAACTCTAATAAGATGATTTATATTTATTGCAGATCTTCTGTTCCCGTTGCTCTTCACACTCAGCTCCGTTGCCTAGATACGGTCAGATGAAGCCAGTGAGAGTTTGCACTCACTGCTACATGTTCCACGTAACACCTTTCTACAGCGACAGGACTGGTATCTGACCACACACACACACACACACACACACGGAGACATAAGCACACTACAAGAAGTTTTCCTGAGGTTTGATACTTCAGCAAGAACAGACATGCACATCATCATCATCATCATCCAAAAAAAAAAAAAAAAATTGTAAATATATAAACACTAAATGCAATCACTTCGAAGCGAAAGAAAAAGCCTTGACCAGGGAACAAAGCGAGAAGGACTCAAATGGACGGTTGCGAAGGACTTAAGCACATAAAAGAAGTACCCCATTGCTATGGGAGCCAAAGTATTTATTTAGGGCTTTGCTTTTGAATAATGAGCTTAATTACAAATTTGCTTTAATCAAGCATGGAACAAACAGGCTATTCTGTGAAACAGAAGTGCACCCGAACAACACATACAAGGATTTTGTCTGGCAGTAATTGTGGCTTTATTAGCGACCAGAGTATCGATGGGCTCAGTTTCTAGAATGAATGTAAACTGTGAGCACATTATAAATATGAGAATAACAAACTGTGACTTATGAAGACAATAATGCTAACACTAACTGCACCATCAGTGACACCTTTTGTGGAACAATATAGCACAGATGTTTTTCCCCTCGTTTTTGTTTTGGAAAATAATGCTGCTTTCTGTAAAACAGAAGTGATATTTGGGGATTTAGTTGAATGGCCAAAAAAAAGAAAAAGAAAAAAGATGTGTGTATATATGCTTGAAAGTTTGAGATGGATTTAATGCATCTTTTAAACGAGAAGATTCTCTCATATTCCCCATGCAAATGAATGTGCAACATTTGGATGTTCTTTTGTTTTCTGAAACTGTAAATTTATTGCCTTTTACAGCAGTTTAGGAGCCTTGTGCTTTTCCCTCTGGTACAAAAGAACACGTTACACCCCCTACCTCATCCCCCTTGACCCCTCTCACACGGCCCCGTCCCGTTACAGTATGCCTACGCTACCGAATCAGTCAACCATGACTGTCTTTTCACAGATGCAAATGCCTTTCTTTGTCTTTGCACATTTTTTTTTTTTTAGGAACATAGAACGCATATATCTATTAGTGACCAACCACTACTTTTTTGTGCAATTGTAGAAAGTTAATATATTTAAATCTTGTGAAACCTGTCAAGAATATGATGTCTGGGTTATATTTTTCTGCTAAATGAAAAACATAAAATTGAATTAATATCAGTAACTATTCCAATTCCAATTGAATTTGGGGACCTGGAAATCTGACCTCCTTTTGACTTTCAGGTTGCTGTGTTGGTTTAAGATCTCAATATGATCAGGAAAAAAAAAGCTTTAGTTTTCCTCACTGCTTTTGAAATCTCAATCTAGATGCAAAACATCTACTTTTATAACTTTATCACTCTCCAGAAATCAAACTGAGGGTTATTTTCTTAAACGGGCAATATCTGTAATTGCTATGAGTTTATGCAGGAGACGTGTAAAACTGCACCAGTTGTTGCAGTCAAGCTGGTCTGATATTGAGCATGGCGATATTGTGCCGCAAAACAGTTTTGACCTAAACATGTTATCTGAAACTGCGTGATATGACAAACACTACCGGCAGGCTAACATATGCACTTTGTATGGCAAATAGAGGAGCATTTGAAGTCTGCTACAATGACATGTTTGATTTTATTTTTGTGCAATGATCCTTCTCAAGTCATTTTATAGGAATGGTTATCTTAAACTATTCACCTGATGACAAGTGTTAAAGGAGTAGTTCACTTTTAATAAAATTTACTCAAAATAAAATAAAATTTACTTGCTGATAATTTACTCACCCCCATGTCATCCAAGATGTCCATGTCATTCTTTCTTCAGTTGAAAAGAAATTAAGGTTTTTGATGAAAACATTCCAGGATTTTCTCCATATAATGGACTTCAATGGGAACCAAACGGTTCAAGGTCCAAATGAGAGTTTCAGTGCAAACTAAAAACTTTTCAAAGGGCTTTAAACGATTCCAGACGATGAATAAGGGTCTTATCAATCAAAACGATCGCTCATTTATTAAATAAATAACAAAGTTTAAGTTTTATAACCACAAATGGTCGCCTTGCACTGTTCTGTGATGAGCGTTCGTGACTCTCCTGTTCGAACTCGTTCATCAAAATGAACAAACCTTTTTCCTAGTCATTTGGTTCATTTAACGAACGAAATGAACGAATTGACTCGGAAAAAGATTTGTTCATTTAGATAAACGAGTTCAAACAGGAGAGTCATGAACGCGCATCACAGAAACTGTTTTTTGAACCTTGAACCTTTTGGTTCCCGTTGAAGTCCATTATATGGAGAAAAATCCTGGAATGTTTTCATAAAAAACCTTAATTTCTTTTCGACTGAAAAAAGAATGACATGGACATCTTGGATGACAAGGGGGTGAGTAAATTATCAGCAAAAGGTTTTTTTTTAAGGTGAACTACTCCTATAAACATGCTCAGTAAATACTTTATTAATACTGTTTTTTCCAACACTAATTAATATGATAAAATTACATAATTGATCATGTCATTTATTTATTTTGCCACATGAATCAGTACAGAACACATTCCTTTTTGCCAAAGTTGTTATTCTAAGTCCCAAGCAGCCACATACACACAGTTTGCCTGCATCTTAAGTTGCATCTGAGTTGAGTATGACCAGTTCTAGCAATATTGTAAGCTACATCACACTCGAGGCAGATTGATTCTGCTGGTTGATGGTTAATACTTTACCTCTTTCTGCCTCATTACCTTTGACCGAGTGTTTAAGCCAATCATTCCCGTATTCAAACCTGTCCTCGCATCGCATTCCCGCATTTCCTGGAGGTTCACCACAATGTCTACACACATACAGCTTTAAAACGTACTGTAATTCTGCAAAACTCAAATCTTGTGTTCCAAGATATGTGCATTTATACATATTCAAAGGTTTATATTGATAAATGGCATTTATGTTTCTCTTCTGATCATTTGGAATGGCAGGGTATATTTTGTCCAGACTTTGCGATTCCTCTTCCTCTTTTTCTTAACTGTAAGGTCAATTTGATTATCTCTAGATTTACCACTTTGGTATTATAAAATTTAAAAGCACCTCTTGATTGTTTTGCCTTTATATTGCCATGGAAACTTGTTTCCGCCACTGAATAAACCATTTAAAAGATTTTTATCTCGCAATTCAGACTTTATAACTCACAATTGCAAATTTAAATTCTTATGTGATTCTTAGGGGAAAAAAGTAATTTTATTATTCAATGGCGGAAACAAGCTTCCATATATTACTCTCTTATAGTCCGCTGAATATATTGCTATGGAAGCTTGTTTCCGCCAAGGAATAAGATAATTGCGACTTTATCTCACAATTCAGACTTTTTTTTTTCTCTCAGATTTGGGCTGTCTGGTAAGTAGTTGCGAGCTTATCTTTATCTCACAATTCTGACTTTTATAAACACAATTGCGAGTTATAAAGTCGAAATTCTCTTTTATTTTTTATTCATTGGCAGAAAGAAGCTTCAATAGTTGCGTCATTATTGGGATAGACCGCTTTACCTGACACTGGAATCAATTCAAGCCAGATAATATAGCTTTAGGATCACTTCTGGGTACATACAGTACGATACAGTCTAGAATACAGATTTTCATCTTTATTGAGTGGTACGATCAAGGTTGACATTTGAGTAGAACAATTGTCACTTTTCTCGTCGCTTCCTGTTTTGATATCACGACTTCTCCTCAGGAACGTCTTGATTGTATATCGGCATGATACTGATGGATTGATTTTTACAGCTAATGTTTTTTCTGATTTGAAATGAGATTGTGAATCAGCCAAAGGTTGAATACTTCCCGTCTGCAGACTCGACTTCCAGCCTGTCGTGTGATAAGCTCAGTTTCTGATTTGTGCCCTCTTCTGATTCTCATTCTGTTTTTTGCTTTGTTTTTTTTTTGTTTTTGTATTGAAAATAAGAGTCTTTAAAATTATACAGATGTTTTATTTTACAGAGAACAAAAATAATGAAATTATATATGTACAAAATTACTTTTTTCTGTATAAAGAGAATCACAATGAGAGAATTTGCTCTATTTATTCAAAGCTTGTTCTTATTTTGTAATGGCAGGCTCAGTCTAATAAGATGTAAAGAACAACTTTTCAAAGTCTACTAAGTATTTATGTCATGCAATGAAAGTAATAAATGAAGTTTTCTTTACATAACTGGAGGTCTCTGCTATTTTTCTTGTGTGTCTGTCTGTCTGCCTGTCACTTCAAGGATGGCTCAAATGACCGTAAAGATATTTATAATGTTACAAAATATTTATTTTTCAAATAAATGCTGTTCTTCTGAACTTTCTATTCACTAAATAATTTTTTAAAAAACACACCTGTTTTCAACATTGATAACAATAAATGTTTCTTGAGCACCAAATCAACTTATTATAATGATTTTTGAAAGATCATAAAGTAATCATACTTATGGCTGCTGGAAATATAGCTTTCCTGTCAGGAATAAATTACATTTTAACATTGACTGTATATTAAAATAGAAAGCACTTATTTAAAATGGTAGCCTACTATTTCACAGTATTACTGTTTTTACTGTATTTGATTAAAATATTTAGCCTTGATGAGCATAAGAAACTTTCAAAATAATATTTTAAAAAGTCTTCCTGACTAAACCTTTTCCTTATTTTGAGTCATATTAATAATGCAATACACTGACTGTATACATTATGAAGTGCTCTTATGCATTAGTGCTAATCATGCAGTTTTCCCCCTTTCAAGTATGTCTTTTAGGTGCCTCGTAACGCCACCAGTTAATGGAAACATCCCCAGAACCAAAAATCATTTCCTCCATTTGCACAGATGATGTAAACACACAAACTGAGATCCTCCATCATTGATCCCTGGAAGTAACCGGAAGATGATGGAGATGTGATGGTGAGGATGAAAGCAGCGTCTCCCACATTTATATCACTGTGTGCTCATTGTATTGCTGTCAGGAGGGGATGTGACTGCTCAGTGTGTGTGTGGGGGTGTTTGTCATGAATAAACCACTAATGAAAGAGATGCAGACTTTTTGGGAGAGGAAGGAGAACCAATCGAGCCCTAGCAAGAAACCTAAACCGGTGAGTCTGTATTAAAGTACCTTATAATATACCATACCAACATAGCTAGCACATATGGTTGTGATGGAAAACATTGTTTTGAGCTCACCAGAGTAATCTGCATTTGATAATGCCTCTAAAAATACACGCGCCTGCAACGAGACATTAACCAGACGCGCGCGCGGACACGATGGCGCGAGCGCTTTTGCTGCAGTGATGCCATTGATGAAAACGGTAAAATGGAAGGAAATCAAAGCCTCTGTGTCTGCAAAAAAACAGCAAGGCAGCTAACAGAATGGGACTATGATCCGAGATAAAACTGTAACGCAGAGTTTGGTAGGAGCCATTGAAAAAGCGATATGATCAAACGCGCAGGACCAGTTGCTTGCACGCGCACGATTTGATTACTGTGTCGACAACGCAGAATACGCAGCGATTCACGACGAAAAAGTTTATTTTGAAGACGTTTTTAAGTCTAGTCGCTTGTTGGTATTATTGCAATGAACAAATATTTATTTATTTATTTATTTATTTAACATGTAATGTTACATGTGATGGTCCTATTGCTATTTATTTATTTATTTCAATAACATTTGATGTTGACGGCAATTTTTGGGACTTAATTTATTTTTTTGTGTAAATAACATTTTAAAACATCTGTCTAAAAACTGATTATTCAGTTTATTAAGTACTCCGAAATTAGTTATTGACTTGTTTTTTTTGTCTGCATGATTTATTTATTTACTTATTATATGAACAATTTATGGTCTTATTGCACATCATCCATCTATCCATCCATCCATATACATTTGAAATTGGTTGTTGACGACAACGTTGTATTTACTGCATCAGCTGTAAATGGATAGGCTAATTTATTTATTTATTACAAAATTTGAAATAACACTCAAATAGTAATCAAAAATATGTGTCAATCTTTCAATAACGCAATATTATGTTTACTCAGCCAAAGCCTCAGAATGCCATCACTATTGCTGTGTCCTCCCGTGCCCTCTTCAATATGGATCAGGAGCAGGACATTTATGAGCAACAGGGAATGGAGGATTACATGAACTATCAGATCCAACACGAGAACGAGCCATTCACACCCGGACCTGCTTTCCCCTTCGTTAAGGTCAAACCTATTCAAATGTACTTACACACAGCTACCAGTAACGAGAAAAACTATGACCCTGTATCTCAACTTAAGAAAGAAAATTACTGAATTCTCACTCTGTCCAACAGTGCCATGAGTGAAATGCTGTTTCTGTCCTTTAGGCGGTGGAGGCAGTGAATGCTCGACTCAGAGATCTGGACCCAGACAGTGAAGAGCTCTTTGATGTGGTTCTGATGACCAGCAATCATGCTCATGTGGGACTTCGGCTCATAAACTCAATTAATCATCACCGTAGGTCAAAAGATCTTTGACTGACTGCTTTTCACTGGATAAACATCAGGAAGTTGTGTCTCTTTGAAACATGGCAAACTAATGTTTTAATGCCATGGACCCTCAAATATGAGGACACAAGACTATAAAAGCAGCTATTTATTTTCATACATAATGGCCCATTTGTACTGGGAGACAATATCAGTTTCTTCCCTAAATTAAACAATTGGCTTTTATATCGTCAATTATTAAAATATTTGGAAACACTTTACAATGAGATTTCATTTGTAGATGAACAACACTTCTACAGCATGCACTGTTAGACTTTGCCTTAATTTTACAGTTACTTACCGCAAAAAAGCCCAGTAAAATACTGTTTATATTATTTACGGTTAACTACTGTAATATGCACTGCATTGAGGGTATTTTTAATGAAATTTACAGTAACATACTGTAAATGGGTATTAGCAGTATTTTACCGTGTACGCAAAAGCAGTAGTGCTACTGTAAATGCATAGATGTATAAAACTTCAACATTTACTATGCATTTTTAAAATCTGTTAATGTTGCACTGTGAATGAACATGAACAAACAATACACAATTGTATTTTTATTAACTATCATTAACAAAGGTTAATAAATGCTGAAAAAACATAGCTAGTTAGTTCATGTTAACTAATGCATTATTAACTAATGTAAACAAATTACATCTTATTGTATATTTTAATGACAATATAAAAGCCAATTATTAATTCTTTATTATAATATTTTTATTAAGGTGTATATACTTTTTAAAATAAAATAATGCAGATTTTATTTCTTTAAAGCTACAGTATATAAGAAAATAACTACAATTAATCTAAAGACTGATTTTATAGTCTTTATAGTCTGTGCTATTATGAAAATGGGTAAATATGTTAAAATTAATACATTAAATGTAAGGGATCGTCCACCCAAAAATGAAAATTCTGTGATGATTTTCTCTCCTGTATGATTTGTGGAACATAAAAGAAGATATTTTGAAGAATGTCTGTATCCAATCTTGCCCATTTACTTCCATTATGTGGGGGAAAAAAATACAATAGAGGTCTGAGGTGACCGAAATTATGTTGTTCCCTACATTCTTCAAAATATTGTCTTATAAAGTCATGCTGGTTTGGAATGACATGGGGATGAATAATAAATTATGACTGAATTTTCAATTTTGGATGAACATCCAAGTGCACATATTACATTTGACATCCTTTAAAAAGCTTTTTAGTGCAACTATGTTTCCTTACAGATGCTAAATGCATGCCTAACTGAGCGCATTGCAGTGATCAAATTATTGTGTTGAGGTTTCTTAAGTATGGAGGTAGTCCTCTCTATAATTATGTAAACGTGTAAATAATGTCTTGTGCTGTCTGTTATCTCCAGAGCTGTTTATAGAGCGCTTTTGCATGACTGGAGGCAACAGCCCTATTGGCTATCTGAAAGCGTACCACACCAACCTTTATCTGTCAGCGGATTCACTGAAGGTTAGAGAAGCCATTGAAGAAGGTGAGTGGAGTGTTTGGGGATTTCATTATCTTCTTAGAACGGGAGAATCATAAATATACCAATATTGTTTTTTGTTAGGAATTGCAGCAGCTACAGTATTCTCACAAGGAAAAACCACAGAGGTGTCGGAGACTCAGCTGCGCGTGGCCTTCGATGGAGATGCCGTTCTCTTCTCGGATGAGTCGGAGAGAATTTACAAAGCCCAAGGACTGGACAAGTTCTTTGAACACGAGAAAGCCCATGAAAATAAACCTCTTGATCATGTATGTTCAGTTTAAATGTAATAGCAGTGCAATATAACACGGTGTGAATTCTTACATGGCAGGAAACGCCATTCATATTTTGGATCATCAAATGGAGTTGAAGTATTTTTTCACTAGAAAACAAGGATGACTAGGGTTGTTCAATGTTGAACACCAGTAATCGGTACCAGTCGGTACTAAAAAGAAGCTGACGGTACCAGCATTTCCACAGGCCTATTTGGTAGCCTACCCGCTGATAGGCTGCTTTCGAATGCTGTCGTTCATTTTTGTTGGAACATTTTCTGAGCACCATAGGTTTCTATTTATAGCATGTTTTACACGTTTTAGCCAATCACAATCCTATCTGTTGAGCGTGTATACTCAATGGCCTGTCAGAGGTGCAATAGGCAGTAAGTTAGCCAGAATCCGCTTAAAGGGATAGTTCACTTTGAAATTAATTTTTGGTATGTTTTAGCTCACCTCAAGGGCATCCAAGATGTAGGTGTCTTTGTTTCTGCAGTATTTTTAATTTTGATTCTTGATTCTTCAAACCGTTCTTGTCTGTCAGTCATATAATGCAGGTCTATGGTCACTACCTCAAAGAGCATGCACAGAGAAGTCCAAATAAACATGATTTAATGACTCGTAAATGTAAGTACACGTTGATGGCCTAAGACACGAAACGAGCGGTTTGTGTGAGAAAACGAACAGTATTTACATCGTTTTTAACTCTTTCAACCATAGCCACGTCCAAGTGATCTGAGGGCGCGGGCGATTCGTTCTGCGAAATTCTTTTTCATAGTAGCTCCACTGCAAAGTTTCTGGATTGACCATTTAAATGCGCAATTATATCGGAAACTGCAATGATTGACTGATAACCAACAGACGGGTACCATTCAACAGTTTATGCTCTGGTACCAAGAACTGTGTAATTTTACTGTTTATTTTTTAATTTATTTATTTTTTCTCCTATAGGGACCACTTAAAGGGTTCCTGGAAGCTCTGGGGAGACTGCAACAGAAATTCTATGCCAAAGGCCAGCGCTTGGACTGTCCCATCCGCACCTATTTGGTCACAGCTCGCAGTGCAGCCAGTTCAGGCACCCGGGCCCTCAAGACGCTGCGTTCATGGGGCCTGGAGACAGACGAGGCTCTCTTCCTAGCAGGAGCCCCTAAAGGCCCCATGCTGGAAAAGATCAGACCTCACATCTTCTTCGATGATCAAATGTTCCACGTGGAAGGAGCAGCAGAACTGGGAACTGTGGCGGCTCATGTTCCCTACGGAATTGCCCAGAGGTTTCCATCAAAGACAGGGAAGGAAGTAAAAAAAGACTTCTCAGCCAAGCAGCTTGTGTGAATACTGGTCAATCAAGTGCTTTAAGCAAAGCCTTTAATATTTTCACACTTTTCTTTATAATTGGCCAAATTGCTATTTTTTGAATGCCAAATTGAGCATTTTTGAATGCCAAATTGAGTTTTGCTTTTCCATTTTCCAAAAATGGACCAGTTTGTCCATGATAGACCATCTGCATAGTTCTGACGTTGTTCACTTGCTTGTATAGCAAGCCATAAATAAACAGAGAAAGAAACTGTTATTGGATAAGTGGTATTTTACCGTTTTCTGTTCTGATTTTAAAGTACACGCTATTTAATTTATTATGCGACAGTGTAACTTATCTAAAGCTAAAATGCACTAAATGCTGTGTTGGATATCATAAATATCACCTGTAATACATATTTTTGGCTGTCATATTGCAATCACCATGTTTTGAATGACCATCTCTGTGATTGTTCACTTTAAAGGGCTGTTTTTACTTTATATTTAGCCTCTATCCGTGTATATCCGTTAAGCAGTATTTTGATTCTTCAGTGTTATGTACAAATTTGGCTTAGTTTATTGTTATCACTACAGTGTGGTGATAACATGTGTTACTCAGGGCATGCTCAAGTCAATGTTTCCACTGAATCATAAACAGTGTTCAATAATAAACAGTGAAGAGGAAATGTTGAAAACTAGACTATGTTTATTTCTCTCAGTTCAGAATATTTAACCCCTTAACTGCCACTGTCTTGTTAGTGGGATGCTTGCTTGGCTCTCTATTATTTATTGCCTTTTTATCACATATTTTGGAGCATAAATTAGGTATCATTCGAAGGCTTAAAAACTCAAAATTCCTCTGGTGAAAACAGTTTTGAAATTGGACATTGCACCACCATGTAAACGATCCTTTAAAACCTTAGTGGGCTCCTCCTAGTGCGCGGTGTCAGGCCCTACATTTAGCCTATTTGAACTATTTTACAATCCAAAATGTTTCTAACCTTGACAAAACGCATATCGTTGGAAAGGTCTGACACTCAATGTGTTATATATTTGCGACTGTTTGTGATAGAAGTGATATTTTGAATTTAGTAATGAATTCATCCGTGGAGAACGTCAAAAAATTTATAAATAAATAAATCAACGTAAAATGTGTGGCAACTGATTTTAGCTGGTCACCCAACTTTAATAATTTTCTATATATATATATATATATATATATATATATATATATATATATATATATATAATCTCTCAGGGTATATGGTATTTTGCCGTACTGTTTCTATGGTAACTTTAAGGTCCTGTTTTAAGGGCGGGACTTCAAAACAATCTCTGAGAAACTCTGTTGGACTTTTAACCTATGCTTTTGACTCGCGTCCTGCTGGTTAATGTTTCACCTACTTTAAATATCAAGACTAACTTCTGGGTCGTGCTAAGTTTAGTTCATTAATATAGGAGATTTGTATTAACAAAATAGTAAGGTAATAATAACAAGTACGCAGTCTGTGTTTAGGAATGTGATCACATGATAGTGTCATATGACTTTGATGAGAGAGAGAATGAGAGCGAGAGAAGAGGAAATCTTAATTAGTTCCCAATATTACACTCTTTTACTAATGCTGTCGTCTACCGTGATGAATGCAGATGGATAAACAGATGTGGGAACTCTTGAAGTAAATCGCTGGATCATGGAGCGTTTGGGGTTTTTGTCTGTGCTCGTCACCGCTTGTGTTTTGGGTGAGTTTCCAGAACAAGAATCAACAGAACATCTGAGACTTTTAAAATGCTTTCATGACGCATTTTTATTATTTAGCTTTTATTATTTAGATAACATTTTAAAACATACAATAGGATATTTAAATTGTTTTTATTGCAAGATTTCGCTTTGTGAATGTTTGATTATTGTAAATGGATTATTATTGAATGTCGGATATTCTCTCTATATCTAGTTACTAACGTTAGGTGACATGTCCCCACCCAATATTCTATCTATCTATCTATCTATCTATCTATCTATCTATCTATCTATCTATCTATCTATCTATCTATCGTTCTATCGTTCTATCGTTCTATCTATCGTATTTTATTAACCCAATGTTTAATATTTATATCAGGAAAAAAATAGATATACGTGTGTAGGGGGGAATCACATTTTAAAATAATTTTACATATTTTTTACATATTGCAACAAATTAGCCAGAGGTTTCACCATTTTTAACTTTTGTAAATAAATTTACCAGATGTGGTGGAGCATCAGTTTTTCAATACAGAGGGCCAACTGTAGTATGAGGAATTTTATCAAAAGCATTCTTTGTGAAATCTAACAAGCCTTAACCTAACAATATGTCCAAATGTTTTGGCCAAAATCTATACCCTTGCTTTATAGAAAACATAGACTGTACTTGGTTTATTGGCGTTATAGCATGCAGGGAGGTTAGTTTTCTGTAGTGTGACTTTTTTAGGATTTATGACCCCTGATTCATTGATTTGTCGATGTCTATGTGATGACCTCACATAGTTGTGTATTTAAAAAAATGTGTTAAAATAAGAATGTGTTCAAATGAGCTGAAAAGTATCATAACATGTCAAGTAAAACATGTTTTTCACAGTCTCTTAGTTGTAAAGGCTTGGAAAAGAGCAGAGAAATGGTTCCTTAGTATTTCTGGAGTGAAATCAAGTCATATGACCGCCGTCACCTCCGAATAATTGTGTTTCTTCAGTGGGAGCTTGTGTCGCTGAGGGTGACCGGCTTCATGGTTAATATGATTACTCTCACAATAAGGACTCTGTTTGCCTTTTTGCTGATGGTTAACAAGCATGTTGTGTCATTTACAGTATGTTCCAACAGACAATAAAAAAAACACACACACACAGACGAAGGAATGTGTGCGTGATTCATGTTATCCTGTTACAATAAACCTTTAAACCAACCTTGTCAAAAGGTTGATCAGTATTGACCCAGAAAAAATGTATTATAAATTTTATTGTGCTTTATATGGTATAGTATACTTCAAGAGTTAGTTCATCCAGAAAATAATGTCATTATTTACTCATGTCGTTCCAAACCCGTAAGACTTCTTTCATCTTCTTCGGAACACAAATGAAGATATTATTGATGAAATCTGAGAGATTTCTGTCCCTCCATTCACAGTCTACGTCAATAGCACTTTCCATCCCCAGAAAGTAGAGTTGCACAATTGCAATTCTCTCGGCTGATTCTGGTTATTTTGTAATTGTGATCAGCCAATACAGATTTGTGCAGATTCAGATTTTCTTTCAAAGAACTATAATTGACAGCATGCATATACTGTACAAACAAAATTATACTTTTCTTCAATGCAAAATTCATAAATAAACTCAAGTAAAAATGAGTAATAAAATAAGAACAAATTGCAAACAGCACAAATAAATGCAACAGAATAAAGAGAGGTATGAAATAAACACGGCGGCTTTAAGTTTTTCAGGCTGCCATATACAGTATATTGCAGGTAAGAAATATTACAGAATTTAAATAATCATATGTAAAATAACACTGGATAGTTTTCATTGTAAAAATTAAATGCAGATTAATGCTTACAATTACAGTTACAAAAATTATTCAGTGAAGACCAGAGAGTGATTTCTCTTTGTTTTGTTTTTTTCTTCGATTAACACGAGAGACTGCAAAAATATCTTGATGCGATATCTGTGCGAAGGTGTGGAAATGCATTCATTGATATCATTTTATGACCCTACTCCTTCCACAGACGATGTATAGCCTAGATATAAACACATTTATACCATTTAACTTAGTGATTGCTATCAGGATGAGAACAAATCTATTACCCTGCCTTTAAAGTAATTGAATTGTGCTTTTAAGACCATTCTGTCATATGATTAATTTGAAGGCAGTTTTTGCTCTGTCGTTGTGTAGGAGTGGTGATGAGTCAGACAACACTCAGTCCTGCTGTGACGATCACCACAGTCAGTGCAAACGTGACCACGGCGTCTCCCAGCTGCTCCTCGCTCAACACCTCCTCCTGCACGGCCTGTGCCCCTGGCTCTTATTACGATAACGGTGGGCTCATGTGCATTCAATGCTGATTTAAAGTGCTCCACGCATGTTGAAGCTGACACTTTCTCTGTCTGTGTCCTCAGAAACTCTGCTGTGTTCTTGCTGTCCTGATGCAGGCCTGTGTGTGTTACCCGGAGCCTGTCTTCTCTGTGTGCAGGGCTTCTATCAGCCTCTCGCAGGACAGCAGGGCTGTCTGCCTTGTTCATCTGGGTTTTACAGCAAGTGAGAGGAGAAAGTATTACGTCGCTTATGTTTATTCAAAGCATAAACGTTCTTTCAATGCCAAGGCTCTAATCATTTTGTTTCTCCATTAGTTCCACAGGAAGCCCCGTCTGCCAGGCGTGCCCTGCTGGTTCCTACAGCAATAACACCGGCTCCGTCTCCTGCAGGGCCTGCGCACCAGGTAACAAGTGATGTGTTCATTTATTATTTTCTTTTTTTTATATAAATCAATTGACATATAGATTGGTGGAGAAAAAACAGATACTTCATATTGGGGTGGTGATGGCGCAGTGGATAAGACACATGCCTTTGGTGTGAGAGACCCGGGTCTGAATCCACTGTGAGACACCAATGTGTCCCTGAGCAAGACATTTAACCCCTAGTTGCTCCCTAGTATACTACACATTTAAGTGTCTTAAAGGATTAGTTCACTTTTGAAAAAACTTTTGCTGATAATTTACTCACCCCCATGTCATCCAAGATGTCCATGTCTTTCTTTCCTTAGTCGAAAAGAAATTAAGGTTTTTGATGAAAACATTCCAGGATTTTTCTCCTTATAATGGACTTCAATGGGAACCAGTTCCAACCGAGGTCCAAACGACAGTTATAACAGTTACAGATGCAGCTTCAAATGTCTTTAAATGACACCAGACGATGAATAAGGGTCTTATCATGCGAAACGATCGGTTATTTCAAAGCTTATTCCAAAAATGTAACTTTTCTAAGGACAAATGGTAGCCTTGTAATATACTGTGAGGCGCGTTTGCAACGTCACGTAATACGTAATTACGTTCAAAAGGTCACGGGCGACGTAGCCGGAAGTACAGAATCTTTTTTTTTTTTTTTGGAAGTACAGAATCAAAATCGTCCGACATCGTTGTTTTACCTTTAAATTCCTTTTTTGTAAACGGCGTTTGAGTTAGTTTTCACGTTCAACCTATGCGTTCAACTTGTAAACACTCTGACTCTGTACTTCTGGCTACGTCGCCCATGACCTTTTGAACGTAATTACGTATTACGTGACGTTGCAAACGCGCCTCACAGAATGGAGAAAGGCTAGCATTTGTCCTTAGAAAAGTTACATTTTTGGAATAAGCTTTGAAATAACCGATCGTTTCGCATGATAAGACCCTTATTCATCGTCCGGTGTCGTTTAAAGACATTTGAAGCTGCATCTGTAACTGTTATAACTGTCGTTTGGACCTCGGTTGGAACTGGTTCCCATTGAAGTCCATTATAAGGAGAAAAATCCTGGAATGTTTTCATCAAAAACCTTAATTTCTTTTCGACTGAGGAAAGAAAGACATGGACATCTTGGATGACATGGGGGTGAGTAAATTTTCAGCAAAAGTTTTTTCAAAAGTGAACTAATCCTTTAAATGAGATATGGGCAGATAATATATTTTTTTACACTTTACAATAAGGTTCATTAGTTAACTACATTATTTAGCATGAACTAATGAACTGTACTTATAGAGCATTTATTAATCTTTGGTAATGTTAATTTCAACATTTATGAATACTTTATTAAAATCTTGTTCACATTAGTTAAAGCACTTTGAACTAATATGAACAAACAATGAACATGAACAGCTTTATTTTTTATTAACTGACAATAACAAATAAGTTTAACAAATACAGTAACAAATGTATTGCTCATGGTTAGTTAATACTTTAACTAATGAACCTTAAGTGTTACTGTATTTTTCTGCTTATAATACATGTATGGGACATTAAATGTAATCTGAAATTTCACACATTTATTAAGCATTTAATAAAAATGGAAAAGGCTAAAAAAAAAAATTCTTTCTTTATTGCTTAAGGTTTCTACACATCTTTGCAAAATTCAACATTGTGTAACCCATGTCCACAAGGCACGTACTGCAAGTAAGTTCCCTTTTTGAACATTGCACCATAAAATCTATGTCTCTGGTTTAAAGGGATACTCCACTTTTTTTGGAAATAGGCCTATTTTACCACTCCCCCAGAGTTAAACAGCTTAGTTTTACCGTTTTCGAATCCATTCAGCCGATTTTCTGATATTTAGAAGAATATCAGTAAGCAGACAGTTTCTGGTCTCATTGACGTCCATAGTAGGAAAAAAATATACTATGGAAGTCAATGAGACCAGAAACTGTCTGGTTACTGATATTCTTCTAAATATCAGAAAATTGGATTAATACATTCAAAAACGGTAAAACTCAACTGTTTAACTCTGGGGGAGTGGTAAAATGAGCCTATTTCCAAAAAAAGTGGAGTGGAGTATCCCTTTAAGTAATATATATAAACTGCCCATACAAAAAATCACTGTAGGCAACACCAAATTTTGTTGTTTTTGTCTGTACTGACAGCACTCCAAATGTACAAAAAAAAAAAAAGAGCTTTGACTGGAGTTCTCCTTTAAACGTCTATAATTGGATCATTATTGCGGTGATTATTATGTTACTAGCATGTTATATGTTTGGCAACAGTTCTTCTAACCCTAATTGATGGAGTGTGTACCTTTTCATGTTGTGAAGACACATCATGGCTATTTTCCAGGATGACAATGTAATGATTCATCAGATTGTGAAAGAATGGTTGGGTTCGCGATCATGAAGAATCATTTTCACACATGAATTGGATCCAGACCTTAAATTCATTGAAAGTCTTTGGGATGTGCTGGATGAGACTTTACAGAGCGTTGGACTCTATTGATATTGCATTATCAATATCTTGGATGCACCTTTTGATGGAAATAAATGTTGTGCCATAAGATGGTTGATTGATGTGTTGTTCATAGTTACAGTTCTCCCCTTCTCCCTCTCTGATAGTTCCTCCAGTTGTACCCAATGCCGGATCTGTCCTGCAGGCTCAGAGGCTCTACAGATCGCTGCCAAAGACTGTACGCCCTGTCGTCCAGGTATCTTCTTTTAGCCTTGTCGTTTACTCGAATTATATGAAAGCTTTAGTGATATTAAATTTGGAGATTTAAAAAGCCAACCAGAAAACATGATGAAGTCAGTTTTGGTGTAGATCAGTACATGAATAAAGGTCTTTGAACAAGTAAATCAGTCACTCTAAAAAATATTGACGGTTTAACTTAAAAAAGCAAGTAACCTGGTTGCCTTAAAATTTTAAGTTCATTGAACTGGAAAAAGTGAGTTAATACAATGAAGGAGAATGATTTAATCATCAGAAACTCAAAATTATATGTTATCTGAACTAAATAAATGATTTAAGTTGATTTGACAAAAGAAAAAATGTTGTGATTACTAAACTGTAAAAAAATATTGTTGGTTTAACTTAAAAAAGTAAGTAAGCTGGGTTGCCTTAAAATTTTAAGTTGATTGAACTGGAAAAAGTGAGTTAATACAATGAAGGAGATTAATTTAATCATCAGAAACTCAAAATAATAAGTTATCTCAACTAAATAAGTTGATTTGACGAAAGAAAATATGTTGTGATAACAAATCTTGAAAATATTTTTTATAGTGCAGTACAAATATGAAACTCGAATGATGTCAATATTTTATGACAGGAATGCACAAGCTTTCCCATCAAACCATGTGTCAGATTTGCAGCAGTGGTTTCTATCAGGTCCGCCGGGGCCAGGAGAACTGTGACCTGTGTCCTGAAAACCATTACTGCCCTGTGAGTGATTACTTCCTCAAACACACACACACACATACAATCTTTACTGTTACCAATGGACTTGTTCCTCTTGCTTGAACTAAGATTTTACTGTAGAGACTTTCGATTTGACTTCCTTGTTTATCTAAGAAAATAACCTACGTAAAATATGTGTCATTTTTGTATGTCTTGTAATACGTGTCTATATGCTCCAGAGTCCTGATGTAAATCCGATCGAATGTCCCACCGATGCGTTCTGTCCCGAGGGCAGCACGGCCCCTGGTTACTGCATGGAGACCTTCTTCAGAAAGGCTGGGGAGACGTGTGAACTTGCTCCTGTTACCATTGCACTGCTTGTTATTGGAGGAGGAGGTATGAACTTTCACATCACATCGTCTCTCAATTGAACTTTTGGTCCCCAACCAAAATATGAAAAATGTCTTTCAGTTTTTCTGCTACTGCAAGTTCCACCTCCTTGTTTGCACTTACGGTCACATTTTGAACATTTCCACCAAGTTAAAAAAGTCTATTGTCAATAGTGTAGTGATTTATGAAGCACAGTTCACACAGAAGTCACTTTCAAACCAAGCAGTTGTCTGTTGTTCAATGTAGAAAATCCCTTAAAAGCTTGAAATCTGTCTCACTCACACGCAAAATTCACTACTGTGTGGATTCCCGTTGAAATGTGTGGGTTTTGCCCATGAAAATGAACCGCACGACAGTAAATGTGACCCCATCTTTACTAGGTCATACAAATTAAACCTACTAACATTATTATATTTACTAATTGGTCAGGAATAGGATTGGTCAATGCTTAGTAGAGCTGCGCGATTCATTCCTAAATGCGATCTCATTAGAAATGACAATGATTCGCATGTCTATGAAAGTATGATCACAGTGGTCACAACCGCTGAGACTAAGAGCACAAACATTATTTTAAACATCAAAGTATATGGTTACAAATGTTCAAATGATCACAGAAGTTCTGGAATAAAAGGTTATAGCTTGGATAAACACTGATGTGTAGCAATGGTAGCATAAAACAGACTAAATCACCTTTTGAAAGTAAATTTACGCTTCAAATAGAGACTGTCAATTACATCATTACACCAGTAGGTGGCGAAAAGTGACTGTTAAAGGGATAGTTCACTTTGAAATTAATTTTTAGTATGTTTTAGCTTACCACAAGGGCATCCAAGATGTTTGTTTCCACAGTAGTTTCAATTTTGATATTTTTAGGTCAAACTGTTCTTGTCTGTCACTCATATAATGGAGGTCTATGGTCACCACCTCAAAGAGCATGCACAGAGAAGTCCAAATTAAACATGATTTAATGACTCGTAAATGTAAGTACACATTGATGGCATAAGACACGAAACGAGCGGTTTGTGTGAGAAAACGAACAGTATTTATATCGTTTTTACCTCTTGTAATCACAGTCACGTCCAATTGATCTGAAGGCACGGGCGCTTCAGTAACTATCCCTTTAAAACATGTATTAGTCATTGAATCATTCATTCAAGAGATTCGTTCAAAAACGCTGATTAATCCAGTAAAGAAACAAGTAAACTATTTATGCATGAGTCATTGAATCATTCAAACAGTTTTTTAATAATTCATGCAGATTAATTAAACAATTTAAATAGACTGCAGCAATTAACATTTTGTCAGAAGCTCTTATAAACTATGTATTTTGTTTAGTTGTCTGATCAGAATCATGGGAGATTCATGATCTCTATTTGAAGCACAAAAATCGTGATTCTGAATTTATCCAGAAGCGTGCAGTGCTTAACGGAAGGTCAGTTGTCCCCCTCTTCTAATTCTTCTTCTCCTCTACAGTGGGTCTTCTCTTTATCATTGTTTTGGTTCTGCGGAGGAGAAGAGATAATGACAGTGAGCTGTCCCTCGCCCGTACGCCCCTCTTGCGAAAAGACAGACCACCCGGTCGCTTCTGCGGGATCCCTTGTGATGCGGAGCCTGTTTATGCAGGCTGGTGACATCATTACAGCTGCACATATTTTGTTTGAATATTTCTATTAGAACTTTTATTGAACTGCTCTAAGCTTAAAAATGGTAAGATACTATTAAATATTTATGAATGAAGACGCACTTTTCTGAATTCCATTTTTAAACCTGTTTACTACTGACCATGTTATGAAGGTGTGCATCTTTATAGATTTGATTCTGACTGCTTTTCGAGTCTGAACAGTAAACCATTCAGTATTTTTTGGGGGGTGTTTTCTTTTGTTTATTTTTGCACCAGATATTAAGTTAAGCCATGGCACTGAAAGAATTTTGGACTATGTTGTTGGATTAAGCTTATTTTGTTCACATGTGTTTTTTTGTTTTGTTTTGTTGGTGCCACTACATTTGACTACCTGGGGGTCCTCGAGGTACATTTATATTTCATGTATTTGACATGTGATGTTAGATATTAGTGATGTTAGATATTACTTTTTAAAAACACAATTTCTGCAATTTCCAATGTTGTATTCTGGAATAAACAGCTTTGCACAACTTTGACATAAAAGTGTAGAGTCTCTATGCAAGTTTGATGGTTGATTTTTGAAACTTCCCTTCAGAAATCCCCAACCGGTAGGCTACTTTCATTATCTGACAAGTCATCTGACAAAAATAAAGAAACATTATCAAATCCTCTTCAGAGAGTTTTTTTGTTATTTTGGAATGCTTTATTTCCAACAAATAGCATACGAGGGTAATGCTTACATTACATCAGAAGAACACATCACATGCTTAGCAATACAAATAACAGAAAAAGAAAGAAATAGACAAAAAAAAAAAAAACTAGAGTGGGTACATATCTATTTATATATTGTTGAACATATGAAAATGTTAAATGAAGAGCAATTTGCTTTGTTATATTTTGGTTTTTAAATATCAGTGTTATAGCCTATTAATCATTTGTTTAAACAAAGCCAGCATCCTTTGCTTTGTAGTTTTCTATATCTAGTGTTTAGTGTAATTAAAAGAGGTGACAAACTTTATTTATTTATTTTTTTTGTACATTTGCTTTCTTGCAAGTTGCAATCGAGTTGGTTTTGGTTGGACCTCTCTACTCCGTGTTTTCTCGCAGCGCGTTCTTTTTGTCCAAACCGTCCACTGTAGTTCATGCGTCAGTGGCGTTCAAGATGGCGGCCACCTTGACGAGAGGTCTGTTAGGTATTATGTTCATATTTTTGAAATGTCACAAATACATTGCTAAAATGAAAGCGAGTTTCTATGGACTCTTAAAGTTGGTGTGCATTGGAAAACCGGTGTAACGGGTTTTATGTCTGCGACAATGTGTCGAGAGACCGTTTGTACACGACTGAATTTGTAAAGTTTATTTTATATTATTCAACGTGAATGCTATATTTTGGTTCTAATGTCGTTATATTGTTATGTTAGCATGTGAAGTATGTCATGATGATTTAAAATCTTTCACTAAACCCCCACTCTTACGAAAACTAACCATGTTTTTTGGCGGAATGGTTATGTACATACAATATATAATCAATACAAACAGTTTTACTACAAACGCCATGGCTAAACTATGATTAGTGTAGCAAAACCGTGGTTAATTTGTGGTTACCATAGTAAGCACGTTTTTGTTGTAAAACGATTGTTTTTTTTGTGTGTGTGTGTGGTTACCATGGTTTTACTATGTTTTGCAGTAGTAATTTTCATAAGGTGTGTTTTTGCTAGTATTAATGTGGCTGTAATCCGTTAACTACAGTTGTTTCTCCTCTGATGATCAGGTTTGCTCAGACCCCTGTCAGTTTTAGGCAGAGGCCGTCTCACCCCTGCTGTCAGACTGACTCAGACTGCTCGCTTCTCAGCTGTAGTGCAGAGACATGTCAGTAGACCTCTACTTCCGGTTCACTCTGCTCCCGCACAACACACTGGCCTGCTGAGTCGGTAAGACATTGCCTGTTGAACTACACATTTGTCAGTCTGTCTGTTGGCTGTCAATATTTTTATCATTCATCAGCAGGAAAAAAAAAATCCTTCTAAAAGTGATTTCAACAATGTCGTTCCCATTGTTATAGCTGTGTCCTTCCATATTCTCATAGGATAAGAATGATTATTATAACTTTATTGTTAAAGTTATCATCCTTTGTCGTGAATAGGCCTTTAGAATGATTTCCCCCCAGATGTCTGTTGCATGAAGCTAGTTGAACAAACTCTTAGAGTTTCAGGGTAAGTTTACAGTTGACAAAACCGTACAAATGCAACCTGGTTTAGATCAGAGGCCCCTTCCCCAAGGTTTGACTATATGTTCCAAAGCTTAATCTGCCTGTCTAGTTGCATTAACTGAAGATTTGCTCTTTTTGTAATGATGAGGTTTTGTTTTCTGCAGCGTAACTCCCCTCATCCCTTCATTGATGCTCCAGCCAGTCAGGAACTTAACTTACTACAGTCTGAGGAAAGGCAAGAGGAAGTCTGTGAAGTCGGTGGTTCAAAGGTTTCTCAGGCTCCACTGTGGTCTGTGGGTGAGGAGAAAGGTAAAGGATGCTCACATATTGTTCAGAGCTCTCCTGTAATACAATTCTCTGGCATCATGTTGGAAATCCGTTATTTTAATAACCTAAACTGACACTTGTTCTTTGTGTGTTAAATCATGCTGTTGTGTTTTAGGCGGGATATAAGAAAAAGCTGTGGAAGAAGTCAGCAGCCCGGAAGAAGCGGCTGAGAGAACATGTGTTCTGTAATAAAACTCAGTGTAAATTGCTGGACAAAATGACAACATCCTTTTGGAAAAGAAGGAACTGGTTCCTCAACGACCCGTACCAGAAGTACCATGATAGAGTGAACCTGAAGGTGTAAAACCCTCCTAACCTTATTCTTTTCAATTTGCTAGCCAATAAAGACGTTTCTGATCCGTGTATCTGTATTTCTGTTGTGTTCTATTGAAACGCGTGTATGAATTCACGGTTGAGGATTCATCATGTGTAAATTCATCTAAATAAATTATTTCTATTGTGTAAATCTAAAAAGTGATTTATTTGAAAAATCTGCATCCTCTACAATGGCTGCACACACACACACACACACACACACACACACACACACATATATATATATATATATATATATATATGTTTTGCGTTTTCTGTGTTCCCCTGAGAAACTTTGTGTTCACTTGCAAAGAGTTTCTCGAGGGAACACAAAAGCATTGAGATATATTGTTTCCTCCTGTATCATATTTTTCCACCACTATGTCCCTTTAGGGGCTCTGTAGAAGCTTAAAGGGGTGGTTCGGAATTTTGGACATCGGGCCTCATTTCCAAGTGAGCCTTGGTATTATTTATCAGTGGAGACAGTTTTTAAAAAATTTCATCCAGTCGTCCCAGTTGCATAGTTCGCCGGTGCTAGGCTAGCGCGAGTCAACGGTAACGTTTAGCATGCCATTAAAACAGTTTTACCCACTCCACAGTACACCAAAAGCAAATCAATTGTAACGCCAGACTATCAATGTAAGTGTCTGTTGAGATAATAATGTTATAAATCAAACTATCCTTTTCTTCTCAATGATTGCATTACATTTACAGGAACTAGTTTCTCAGCAGCGGCGGAATTATACTTCACTCCGTTTAGTCGTAATGTTACTGCGCCAAAAAGTAAACACAGAACAGAAGCGCATGACAGTCGGGACGTCTAGCTAGCAACTTTGGATTATTTCTGCGGGCTTGGACAAGGAGACACCGGCAGAGACTCTAAAAAATGAGCATTTGCAGTGAACATTTTATTTACATTTTTTAACGGTACGTGGTTACATTTTTTAACGTAACGAGCGAGCGTTTTCAATGGAAGTCGAGCTTCACGCTCGCGCATTGCATTATGGGATTGACAGCGGACCGGAGAATGTAGAAAGCGTTGAGAGAGCGACCAAAAGCGTCAAAAAGGTTGGCCATTTCTTGATTTTATGCAAATATCAAGCGAAAAACGCGGTCGGCATCCAATTGATGTGCGGTTCGGGATGTCACGTCTGTTTTGAGATTTTTAAAATATGCAAATTGTGCCGGAGTTTATGGATTTAGTTCGTAAATAATTTTGTTTACAAATTAGACCCTTTGCAGTTGTTATATAGGCTATGTTAAATACTTTTGGATGTGTTCATTGTGATTTTACTGGCTGGGTTTATAAAAGTTGATAAAATTGAGGGGATATCTTTGCTTGGGGCATTTGTAAACAGAGCTTGTCTATTTCCGAATGTAATCGCGTGCATCTCTGATGATTATTGTGTGTATATGTAAAAAAAAAAAAAAAAAAAAAAAAAAACAGATTAAACCACCCTTTTAATAAATTGGGAATAAGAATTAGCATATTTGAACATTTTTATGTTTTGTGATTTAAATGGTTCTGTTGTCTTGTATGACTGTTCAGTCACACATTTTAGCCAGTGTAGATGTGGCTGATTTAGTTTCATTAGTTTTTTACATGCATAATCATATAGATTATATATTTAATGTTAAACATATGAATTAATATTTTATTTGTTATTATTTAAACCGGATCAGGGAAGGAAATAAAAGTAAATCTTGTATTTTGCAGATTTAATAAGAACCAGGACACAGGGTTTCACGTTCACCATTTAATTTCTGAATGCTGATACATATTGAGGTTTTTAAAACAGAGATTTCACTCTTTTACATCAACTTCTGTCTTTTTCACTCAAGATTTATTCAATAAAGGACTTGAACAATAACACACAGTATATTCTGGCCTGCCAGACATGACAGCTGTGGAACATGGAGATGCTGCTGCAAGCCGTTATGTTTTAAAGAGGATACATAGTGAAAAGACATTTTGACTCCTACTCTGAAAAACCTGGCACGTTCAACTCAAAAATACATGATGTTATTTCAGCTTCAAATGGGTTTTAACAGACAGCCAGGACTTTAATAGTCTTTAAGGCACAGCCTCTACTTAAGTCCCTGAATTTAAAAACATTTCTTCATTTGACACAATTAAGCACGCATGTGTAATGTCTCACTTTCTTAACGCCATATTAGTACGGAGACCTGAAAGAGACATGGAAAAAAATTGCTAGTGAACACAAAAATTTTCTCAGGGTGAACGCAAAACATTTTAGACAACATCAAAGCACTGAAATAATTTTTTCTCCCATCTCATATATTTTTTTCCATTGCCATGTCCCTTTAGGAGCTCCATAATACAAAAATTGGTTAAGTTCATACTTTATATTATCATATTATGTTCATGTTATCATATTACGGTCACTTAAGACATAACCGACTATGTTTAGCCTATGTAAATACTTGCCAAAACGGCTATTTAACCATAATTTTGTATATATTTGTCCGCACTTCGTCACGCTTTTGCTGATTTATCCATATGCCTGCTCTTCTCTTTATCCTAGACGTTTACATTTTTGAACGTTTTATGAGACATGCATCAAATGTATGCTAACTTGTGTCCATCCGGGTAGATCAGCATGTTCAAATTACTAGGTTTTTATGTAGTTATCGTCTCGTTTTTGTCAGTGAAAAAATGACGTTGACAAAATTAAAGGGATAGTTCACCCAAAAATTAAAATTCAGTCATAATTTCCTGAACTTCAAGTTGTTGTTTTTTTTTTCTGCTGAACACAAAATACATTTTGAAGAATATGGGTAGCCCTAACCAAACAGTTTTTGGACCCCATTAACTTCCATAGTATAGTAAGTCAATGAGCCCATCAACTGTTTGGTTACAAACATTCTTTTAAAAACATCTTCTTTTGTGTTCAGCACAAAAAAATAAATTCATACAGGTTTGGAACAACTTGAAGTTATGACAGAATTTTCCTTTTTGGGTGAACTATCCCTTTAACACGGCTTCATAATAGCATTTCTGTATATTTTCCTACTGAATGATAGAAGACCGAAATCAACAACTACATTAACCTGAATATTTAAAGAAGCAACAGTCATCTGTTCTTATCTGCTGTAAAAGGCCAAAGATGGTTTAGAGCACTATAAATTCATACCCATCTCATTGAGGAACAAATGCTGCATTTTAATCTCGCTGTAATAACTGGAAACGCAAACCTAACAATAAGAACGTCAACCAGATTATCACTATTCCAATGATTTTTGTTAGTTTCCGCTGTAGATGATTTCACAATTACAATTGTGACAAAATGACAAACTGTTCCTGAGCAGATTTTTTTTCAGTGAAGTTTGATATAACCATTTGAACAGCTACAAGATCTCAAATACATAAAACCTTCAATTTGATAAAGCATCTTTAAGAGATTAGGATTGTCATCATTTTCACAGTATTAAACACTTTCTAAACATAGACTGCTCTAAGATCCAATGGTGTTTGCTATGCTTTTCTTTTAGAGTTGATACACTTCTGCCTCATCCATGAGAGAGATTTACAGCTCTAAGTGACTCCAATACACTCGACTGTGATCGGGAATGATACGACAAACTGTGAGTTTCTCTGTGATACATGCTAAGCTAGTGTAATAATCCCACATGATTCCTAAATGCTACAAAAGTAAAACGACACTACATGGAGTGAAGGACCCGCTTTGTGTTGTACCAAATCACCACTAATGCCTGCTCAACTGATAAGGTACTTTAATACTGAACACGCACAGAAAGTGGAGGCCAAAAAATGTGAGAAACATTCAAATTGTCATTGTTAATACATGCAACATCAAGCAACTGAAGAGGTTTAAAAGGTTAGTTCCTTCTCCATTCTGACAGAATTTTCATTTTTGGGGGAACTATCCCTTTAAGAAGCCAACAAAGAGAAGAAAAAAAAGTTTAAAGGCTTAAAAAGTTAAAAATGCCATGTTTTGAAAGGTTTCTATAAAAAAAAACACTGTACATGCCTAATAATGAAAGTAATGAAGTAAAACAAAAATGTCCATAAACAACTATCAACTTAATTGCCTCTTTCGGTCTGGAAAAGCTTTTCTTTTGTGAGTGTATTTTAAACAAGATGGTTATTGAATAACTATATATATATATATATATATATATATATATATATATATAGTTTATGGCTGAACTATTGAAAGTTTAGCAGAATTGTAAAATCGATTGCACTATGTCCATCTATTTTAAATCATATATCATGTCAGGCATTGTAATAAATAACTTTAATTTGGTTTAACTACAAGCTTGTTTTAAGTCCCTCTCAACAGAAGAACATGCAGGCAACATATATCGTGAAATAAATGTTATGTTTGCCAAACACACCAACCATCTAAGAACTATTGTTCTAAGAAAAATTGGTTCAGAAACGCTTTGCTTCCCAGTAGTTGTTGAGTTGGGGCAGAAATGAGTGCAGCGTCCACAAAAATAAAGTATGCTCATAAACCATAAGTAATTATGGTGACATAGGACCAGTGACATGCAATGCGTTTGTTTCTCCCAAAATCATACCAAGAAATCAAACAAATAATCAACACCCAAACATTTCATAAATATGTACAAAACAAGTTCAATAACCCTAACAGAGTCTCAGAGCAGCGGTATGTACACAGATGTGTTGCCTAAATACATCAGAAGCGAAAGGTTGCACATCGCTTTGGTTACCTCATTACAGAGCAAGGCTGCTTTTCAATATTTGAACATTTTGGCTGCATTCCCTTTCCCCCTCTGCCTTCCTTCTCCTGTTGCGTCTCCTCGTGTTGCAGGTTAGACAGCTAAAGCGCTCTCATATGCAAAGTCACATGGCTTCGGGGTCTGAAGAAAGGGCGTTCTTTGATCTGGATCGGGTGAAAGGTCTTAGGGATCTAGGAGGAGGCTGAGAGAGAGAGACAAGAGAATATGTCAAGCGAAATGCACACTTCATGTTTACTGTTCACGAAATAAACATGATCAGGTCAACATGAGTAAGGACATCTGTGATGTGTCAATCCAAGGAAAGACAAACACGTGACCTACATCTTTTGGGAATGCATGACTGAACATGCTTTGTGTGCAAAGGTTTTTAGTCAGTTAGCTTAGTCAGGTGTTAAACTGGTGTACCGGCTTTGGTTCACACATTTTGGCACCATTTAGCAAGTGTACGCAATGCTTGATGTGAAAAAAGAGCTGGTATTCTCTTGTGAACCGGCTGGGATATGCAAAACAGCGTCATAAAAAATGACTTCCGATAGGGTAGATCGACTCAGATGTTTTAATGAAGGTGTAATCAATTAAATGCAATTAACAATACCATTAAATATGAAGTATCTTTATAATATATGATATTTTATTTTTGTAATTGTAGCACCTGTTTTGTTCATTTTATGCAGAGCTTAGTAAATCAGACCGATAAGAGACTTGTCCCCCTGTAGTCAATCATTTTAACCCCTGATCATCAAAATGGCATATTAAAAAAAAATGTATTGAAAAAAATGTGTTATGCCTTAACCCTCAGGTGCTCTTCGTTTCGGAGTCACACTTGTTATCTTACTGGTCAAAAGTGACCGGACACCTAAAAATTAAATTTCTTCCATCCCAGTAAAACCAATGCAATTTATTTTTGTTCTATAATATTTATTCTTTGTAATTTAGTATTTTGAGACAATTTGATTGAATTTATTAATATTTATGCAATATTTATTGTCTATTTTTGCCATGGAAAAATCTATATATTTTTCTATATATATATTATTTTTTTCAAAAAAATTATTAATGCAGTATATTAGTTTAATATAGAGTCTAGGCCTTCAAAAAAAAAATTTTTGAAGAAAATTTGAACCATCTGGTTACAGTATAGAGAAAAAGCGTAGGATCATGTTGTAACCACTAGATGGCATGTACAGCTCTCTATGGAGAAGCATGTGAATTCCTCAGATGTTTATGAACACTTTTTTTTTTTGGTAGATTTGAATATATAGTTGAAATAATCTCAAAAACGATTTTTTATTTTAAAAAAAATGTAAAAAAAAAAAATAAATAAATAAATAAATAAATAAATAATTGTGAATTTTTGTGTTTTTGTCAATTTCCCATTCATTTCCTATGGGGGTCATTTTTGACCAAAGACCACAAGTGTGACTAATTTTTTTAAGACCACTTAGCATGCTCAGATCATGACCTCAATTTTTTTGTGTGTTCACATACATAATGCCATAAAAGTCACCAAGTTTCGTAACATCGCGATGAAGCTGTGATTTTTAAAAATTCAAAACATACTTTTTGTAATCAAAATTTATTGGTGTGTATGTCTATAAAAGGTGTACTTTTTTTTTTTAGAATTGTGGCCGATTTGTAGATTGCACATACAAATATTCAGAGAATTTTTTTTTTGTGTCAATTTCCCATTCATTTCCTATGGGTCGGTCATTTTTGACCGAAGACCACAAGTGTGACTATTTTTTTATGACCACTTAGCATGCTCAGATCATGACCTCAATTTTTTTTGTATTCACATACATAATGCCATAAAAGTCACCTAGTTTCATAACATTCCGATGAAACTGTGATTTTTAAAATTTCAGAAATGACCAAAGAGCACCTGAGGGTTAAAATAGCTTGAATGTAACTATACACTCTTGCCTTATTTAGTATACGCGGTTCTATGAATTTGCAAATTAGCCTGATTGTAAGTTGTAAGGAGCACTATATTGAGTCCAAAATTTAGTTTAAATTGATAAAATTGTTCGTTTTAGTCGCATTTTTGCAGTTTCCCCTATTAAATCCAGTCAGATCTTTTGCCACTCAGTCAGGCTGAGGGGTTTTTTTCCGGCGGGAAAGTGACGTCAATGCATTCCCTCTATATGTAATGTTTGTTTAAATGCTAGTCTGGTCCTTCCAAACATGTAAAAGGCAGCAGAGTGATCTTAACTATACTGTTATGACGTTATGGTGCTCTTACAATCATTATCACAGGACGCCCACAGTGCTTAACTCCATTTATAGACCGATTGTCTTGCAGTGAACGGATTGCCTTTGTAACTCTTCCAGTGTAAGTCAACAGTTCTTAATGGTAGGTGTACTGAGACGTCATTTGCTCAAGGCGTGACTCGATTGACTCTCAACGGCAGCGTTGGTTAGTGATTGAGCAGGTTAGTCACAACACAGCTAGCAGCCATGTCTTTTCCTTATGACTCACTGCAAACCAATGCTAACCGTGACCTGAGGTAAGAGTGTTAGACTCTTGGTGAGTGCTTGAGAAGGTTAGTCACAACCGAGCCCCAGCGCAGCCGGGCAAGTCAACAGCTAGCCATCCGAACGCAGGGGTACCTCAGGGGCACGCCTCTTAAATCTGAACTGGAGTGAAGCAGACGAGGCAAACTCCTCCTTCTCCTGGGCCTCCTCTAAGGGTACAGGCGGGGGTGCGGATTTATCCTCGAAGGACTCAGGGGGGGAAAGCTGTGGAGTCGTGGGATCAGGTTGCAGCAAAGCGGCCTGCGATGGGGTCGGGGTGGGTGTGGGAATCAGCGGGCCAGGAGGCTCCACGTTCAACATCTCATATTCGGTCATGTCAAAATCATGGCCTGTACCATGACAATCAAAACAAAGACTGTGACACCACTGCCTTTAAACTCTGAAGAGATATTACTGGTGTGTCAAAGTGTTTATACATTATACATTTCATTATGGAAGACTTGAAAATCTCAACAGATGACTCAACAGAGACAGTGGATTCAACATGATGTTGAATAATTTCTTTTTTTTTAACGATCCTTTCACTGAATCACAGTAATGTGTCATAGAAGTAAATGAAGATTAGAGAACAATAAACAATTTTCAATTTCAAACATTTACCAAGGGCATTGGCAGGGCTACAACACTCGGGTTAAGGATTAATTACATGTAAGGGATGATTGAGAGAAGCAGCTAAACCAAACAGGATTAGCAGAAATCTGATTGGCCGGTATAGGATCTTCTTCAAAGGGTTAAGAGGAGCACTGATCACTTGGCTGGGCATCGCTTACCCTTGCTGTAACCGGCCTCTGATTTGCTGCGCATCATGGTGCGTGTCCTGTGCTGCGTGTCTGCAGGTTGAGTGGTTACAGAACTTGCATTCTTCGCCTGGCCTTCTGCCTGGAAAGATGACAGGTCCTGCATGCTGAAACTGCGAAGTCTCTCAGAGAGAACGCCTTGACCCTGGATCGAGAACACGGAGAGTCAGATGCAACTCCTTAAGAACGTCTAAATAGTGTCATGCTGTGAACTAGACTATCGTCAACAATCTGTTTTGTTTGTAGAAAAGGAGCATGATGATGTTGAAGTAGTTAATTTTTGTTTATCTAGCCTGTTTAAATTACGATAAGGTTTAGGCCTATAGTAAATATTCACTTCAAATGAAACTTATATTATGTAAAATTAAAATAACACTCAGTTGATGTACAGGTTAAAATGTATTGTCTGATGAAGAGCCACTATGCTCGAAGCGTCACCTGTGGTGAGAACATTTCAGAGCTGGTGACTGTGCCAACTTTTCCTTCTTTTCTTAAAAAACTTTTGTGATTGAACCAAGGTTATTATAGCTTTGCATTTTTTATTAGTTTTTTTTTATTTCGTTTTGAATTTTTGTTTTCAAATTCAGTTTAGTTTTAATTAGTTTTAAAAGTGGGTTTACTAGTTTAGTTTAGTTCCCATTTTTTGAAAATGTTTAGTTTTTATTAGTTTTAGTGTTAGTTTTAGTCTTTTTCGTAGTTTGGGTTATGAAAAAGGTCAGAAAAAGAATTGTGTAATAATAACTCAACAAAAACATCATACAATTTTAGAAATATCTATTCAATATTAAAACCAGTACATAAAATGTAGCCTACAATGTGAAATTCCTTTACCGTACCAACAATCTATATATCTTCTATATATAAAAATCCCACAGCTTTACATGCAGGTTTTAAATAACGTTAAAATGAAAGACATTGACAAAGACGAAAACTAAGGACATTTGCTCTATAATTGTATTTTATTTTAGTTAGTTTTGCAAACACACATTACAGTTTTAGTTAGTTATAGTTTTTTTTTTGTAATGGCTCGTTTTTATTTTTATTTCAGTTAATGACAATGTTTTTACCCATCTAGTTTTCGTTTTATCGTTAGTTTTCGTAAACGATTATAACATTGGGTTGAACCTATTTTACCTATTAGATGTGCACACTTTGTGTTGAATCTTTAGTTTAAAATGTACCAAAAAATGATGATACTTTTAAAGCGATACTCCACCGTTTTTTCATATTAAATTATGTCATTCCCTTAACAATCCTTCTCTTAAAAATAAATGATCAATTAACATATTTATTAAATTTTTTTTTATAATTTATCAAAAATAGCCTATATATTTTTATCAATATCTAGTTTTGTCTGAAAGCCATTTTGTCTCAAAGAAGCTAGTCTATAAGTCATAGCTTTATTTAGGGTAAATTTGCAACCAATTTTAACTTTGTTTCACTTTAGTTTTAACTTTATTTTAGTGTCATTGTTACATGCAGTTACTATAGTTATAACTATAAATTATGCATAATTACATGCAACTAAACCAAACCCTAACCCTATAGTAACTACATGTAATTACTTAATATTAGTCAGTACTTAAATGTATAATTACAGTGTAACAATGACACCTTCAAATAAAGTGTAACCTAAATTTAAATTTTTATGTACGCATTCATGTTTTTTTTACTGTTTATTACTATATTACTATTACTACTGTTTATTTATTAGACAATACTGAAACCACACAAAGCTATATTCAGAATTTGGTCATTTTAGTAACAGACTCGTGACAACACACTTCAAGAGCTTTAAAGGAACACTCCGACTTTTTGGGACTTTAGCCTATTCACCTTACCCCCCAGAGTTAGATAAGTCCATACATACCTTTTTCATCTCCGTGCGTGCTATAAGTCTGTTTGACGCACCCACCGCTAGCCTAGCTTAGCACAAAGACTGGATGTGAATGGTTGCAGCTTTCATACTAATCCAAATGAGTGACAAAATAACGCAAACGTTTTCCTATTTACATGTTGTGGTTTGTATAGTCACAGAGTGTGCAAATATCAAGGCCATATGAGACACAGACATCTTTTAACCGTATAAATACTATATTTTCTGAAGGCGAAGCACTGCTACTTGGGCAGAGTGATAAAAATCACCTGAGACGCACCGTGACGAGGAGCAGAGAGTTCGCTCAGTGTTGGCGTTAGATAGAAAAGCATAGTTTATCATGGGTGTTTGCTTTATTGTATGAGCTGTGACAATAAACAGGGGAGACCAGGTAATACAGTACCATGTTTCATTGATTTCCAACCAAAAACGCACCCAGATTTATAAATATCACATGAATAAATAATTATTATTACAGGAATCAATATATTTTAAATGCAATTTATTGGCTGAACCAAATGTATTCAACATTAGCCTATATAATACAGTATTGCATTACTATAGGATAGAATAAGGGGAAAGTAATAGCACAAATTGTTTTTGCACAATGAACTCACAGCCTATCGTACCCTTTTGCACGCTCAAGTTTGTTATTTCCATGGTTATTTCAAATTTAGGCTACTAGGCGCGCCGCGCGCAGGGTGCAAGTTCAACGCGGTGAACGCGCTCGTTTTTTTCCAAGCGCGTCCGCACCGCATCAAGATAAAAACATATTCATACCCTAATCATATAATAGTGTCACTAACGTTACATTAGCTCTGGCTAATGGCACTGTTACAGTAGGTCATCTAAAAACATAACGGAACACTTACCTCAGCCGCAGGTGATCCACTTGTCCTGTCTGTGCTATCGATGGGATAGCCGTATCCTTCAGCACATTATGGTCCGTGTGGCAAATTCCATTTTTCAAAATAGTCGTCCATTGAAATGTACCGAGCAAACATAATGTCCCTTGATAATCTTAGGTGTGTTTGGATAAATATCCAGAGTAAGTTAGCCATTTCTTCATCCAGTCAGCGTTTTTAGTTGGAATTCTGTGAAACATGGTTACCTCCCCTGTTTACAGTCGCAGCTATTTAAAATAGAGCGAAAACACATGACTGTAAACTACGCTTTTACTATTTATAAATTGCTGACTCTGTTACCCAAACACAGAGCGAACTCTCCGCTCCTCACCACGGCGTGTCTCCGGTGATGCGGTTATTACTCCGTCAAAGTAGCAGTGCTTCGCCTTCAGAGAATAGTTCCCAGGTTTTATACGGTTAAAAGATGTCTGTGTCTCACTTGACTTTGTTATTTGTACATTATGTGACTATACAAATCACAACATGTAAATAGAAAAACGTTTGCGTTATTTTGCCACTCATTTGGATTAGTATGAAAGCTGCAACCAGTCACATCCAGTCTTTGTGCTAAGCTAGGCTAGCGGTGGGTGCGTCAAACAGACTTATAGCACGCACGGAGATGAAAAAGGTATGTATGGACTTATCTAACTCTGGGGGGTAAGGTGAATAGGCTAAAGTCCCAAAAAGTCGGAGTGTTCCTTTAAGCCTTTGTACTTTTTCATGGAAGTGTCATTTCCTTTTAACAACTAGATGAGAGCACTCGATTACCTTGGTGGCAGCCATTACTGCGGCTGTTGCTGCCACATTCAGGCCTCTCCTTCCAAAATGCACCAGGGTGTCATAGCTTTTATCTTTTGCTTGGCAAAGGTATTCATCGATGTCCTGAGAAAGAGACATGAATATTTCACATATGCTTTATGGACAACGGAACTGATTCGTTTCATTGTACACTGTCAGATCAGCATCGTGTTTAACTTTCTATGAGCAAAAGAACATTTGAATAGTTTTCATTTTGCTTTGTTTTTTAGTGTTTATCAAATGTACTTGTCCTTCTGATGAATTTCCTGCCTCAAGAGAAGAGGAAAGTGGAAAATCACAGTATACCATTTCCTTACCAATGCTCATCCTCAGTCAAGCAGGTTACAGGAAAAAGAGTCAAATGTGCACTTCCTCCTTGACTCTAACAATTCACTTTCTTAGCATTAAAACAGAAAGATTCTCCACAGCTGTTAAGGATGATGTTTGTTTAACATGTAGAATAGAAATGCTTTAAAAAGTAATTTTTATATTAAAAAATTAAATGTATTAGTGAAAGCTCTATAGTATCTTTTGATATTTTTAAAATATACAGTATTATATAAAAATCATTTTTATTATTTTTTTTTAATTATTTTTATATATAAAAATAAATAGATCATCACAAAGGAACAAAAGGGATCAAATACATTACCTTCTCCTTAGAGGAGAGTGTAGGGTGGACAAATTTTCTATACAGGACACTGGATCCCTTTGTGTACGGGGAAAGTAACCACACGACAAAGGCAATTTTGAGCTCATAGTAGAATGGGAGCCTTCAAAACACAATAAAAGACAATAAAATACAATCATGCGCTCATGTGTCACGGTGGTTAATGCCCACATCAAACCGCCATTTGCATCAGCAGAAATGAAAATATGAGTAAGTCCTAACAATAGGAAATGAGCAAAGCAATGACGCATGTCCTTACCAGCACAGAAAGATGTCAGTAATCACTTCAACTGTAGTAAAAAGTGCAAATATTATCCAGTACATCATCCATTTCACCTGTTTGGAATAAAGCAGTTTAGAAATCAGCAGGCAAAAAAAGAAGGTTAATAAGCTCAACTGAAACATATCTGAGCTGTACTTACATATTCTCTCACATCTTTTGACTTAACAGCTTTATAAGAGGAGTATGCCGGGTAAAGGGTACCAAATATGAGCCTGTGAAAAATGCAACAAACATGCTTAAAGGGATAGTTCACTTTGAAATTCATTTTTGGTATGTTTTAGCTTACCTCAAGGGCATCCAAGATGTGGGGGGTCTTTGTTTCCGCAGTAAAAAAAAGTAAATTTTGATATTTTTCAGGTCAAACCGTTCTTGTCTGTCAGTCATATAATGCAGGTCTATGGTCACCACCTCAAAGAGCATGCACAGAGAACTCCAAATTAAATATGATTTAATGACTCGTAAATGTAAGTACACATTGATGGCCTAAGACATGAAACGAGCGGTTTGTGTGAGAAAACGAACAGTATTTATATCGTTTTTACCTCTTGTAACCACAGCCACGTCCAAGTGATCTGAGGGCACGGCCGCTTCGGTCTGCGCAAGCGCTGGAAAGAGGCGGAAGTGATCTCTCGCACGGTTGTGAAAAAAAATCAACGTTGTCTGTTGATATATCAAAATCGTCTTCCATTGCAATTTCCTGTGTATCTAAATATGTTTAGATCTTCACAGTGAAGGATAACACTTTCGAAATCTCTGTGTAAACAATGAGTGACGTACACGCGCAAGAGATCTCTTCCGCCTCTTTCCAGCGCTTGCGCAGACCGAATAGCCCGCGCCCTCAGATCACTTGGACGTGACTGTGATTACACGAGGAAAAAACGATATAAATACTGTTCGTTTTCTCACACAAACCGCTCGTTTCGTGTCTTAGGCCATCAATGTGTACTTACATTTACGAGTCATTAAATCATGTTTAATTTGGACTTCTCTGTGCATGCTCTTTGAGGTGGTGACCATAGACCTGCATTATATGACTGACAGACAAGAACGGTTTGACCTAAAAATATCAAAATTGAAACTACTGCGGAAACAAAGACACCTACATCTTGGATACGCTTGAGGTAAGCTAAAACATATCAAAAATTAATTTCAAAGTGAACTATCCCTTTAAGATAAACAGAGACAAGTGGAAAACAGACAGAAAAGGACAAGGGTATTTTTCATTGATCAGGCAATACATCATATTTGTAAGGGACAAGTTGTCATTTGTCACATTAGGTCTTATGTGTGTTTGAGTTGGACTTTTAGGGAAGGTTTACATAACAACCGTGCTGAAAACGCAAACTTTCCTTTACAGATGACAACATTGTCAAAACGATCCCCGTTCACACGGATTCGCGTAAATGATTAAAAATGCGGTATTATACTGTCAGGCCAGTAGCAAGAGATGTCACTTTGTAAAGAAAACTATTCAGCCTATAGACCAAACATGTAAAACGCATGCGCATGTAGTCAACGTTTTCAAAAGTCTGGGTTTTTAGGGCCCCAAAATGCTGTTGTCTATTAAATGCACAACCAAAATACATAAAAAAGTTTTCCGTTTTTAGTTGAAAACCGTGTTGAAACCCCTAAGATGGGTTTTCTTTGTATCATTGTTTTGTTTCCTTTGTTTGAATTAGCTCCTATGGTTATTCATTGTTTGATTAATCCACCTCACCTGTTTCTTGTTTCCTCCCCTTGTTAACTTTGATATAGGGCTTGTTTTCGGTCATTCTTTGTTTCGTTTTCATGTTTGATGGTCGTTCCATTCCTATTTTGAGATTTCTGATAACCTGAGTATTTTGTTATTTTGTTATTTTTAGTTTGTTATTGAATAAAGCCTGCTGCGCATTGATTCTGCTCTTTTTCCACATAAATGTATATAGTATGTATATCTGTTCTATTTTATGAATTGTTTCAAAATTCTTTTTTTTGTATATATAACATATATATATATATATATATGTTGTAGATTAAAATGTAAAAAAGGTATTTTTGCTGATCAGTGTCAATAGGTATTATCCCATAGTGTAGGCTATGTGCTTTAAATGAAGTGTTTCCCCCTCTGAGAAATAATAGTGAATTATTGATATTCAAAAAGGTGTCTTTGTTACTGAGTAATAAGTACATGTACTCATAGGGTTAGGATTAGAGGTTGGTTTGGTTTAAGGTTAGTTGCATTTAATTATGCATATTTTTTAGTTATTATTACTACAGTAATTGCATGATACATATGTAGCAATGACGCTGTAAAATAAAGTGTTACCCAACTATTCCCATTCTCCCAGGAGAAAATTCGTCAAAATGACATCATTGCTTGTATTACCTCATTTGCGCATGTACTAAGATCTCCTCAGAAATAACATGGTTTTAAAGTTCTAGAGTTTATTCGTAAGATAATTTAAAGACGGTTACATGATTTACAATATTAAAAATTACATAACAATAGCCGGTTATAATTCCCTAGGTCCACTTCCCTGAAAGGAAACCGCTCCACTCCCTTTCCATTATTGATATTTGAGATAACCTCCCTTTAGTAGGCCTGGAGTCTCCTTTAATCAGCCAAGAATATATTTGTTTCAATTCTTGTTGTATTGCAGCGCCATTGTAGCACATAAACAGGCGACAGATCTGTACGACCCCGTTTATATTCCAGGTTTACATTCTGCAAGCTTGATAAAAATAGACTTGACAAACAGCCTAAATGCTCGTCAAGGGCGCAAAGAAAACATCACAAGCCAATGGGACGGAACGAATAGCGTTTGCACTGTATAGGTTAAATGGGTTTCTGGAAAGTGCTAAATAGCTAAAAGAAGTGTCCTGCACCTGTGTTTAAGCGTTTGAGTTTAGCTCTATTCCAGTGTCCTCTCTTTCTCCCAACAAACCAGCCCAGCAACAGCTGCGCCTCTGACCCGATCAAATGACCCGAATCCGGAGTCACTCCTGACCCACAAAACAAAACATGACCGACTAAATAGTGTAGACTATCTAGGGCGCAAACACAGCTTTGTTGCATTTGTCGTTTATTATTAGACTCTTCACACAGCTAGTTTACTACACAAGTGTTGGCATATGTGCAGTGTCATCGGATATTGTGATCTAAAATGAATTGAACAGCTATTTAGAGATGTTGCACACACAGCAAAAGGATTGACGTGAAGCGGTATTACAAATAAGATATTTACGCGGAATACATTGACACGCAAATGTTACGTCAATAATGCGATGGTTAAAAATAAAACAAATGGTGAAAAACCCACACGTTAGTGGTCATCAGCTAGTTGACCATCCCATTGTCTTTCCATTATCTACTGACACATCAAAGACCTGCTCGATTCCAAACAACAAATTCAACATTCGAAATCGAATCCTATTTTGTGCATTTTTACTGAATTAGCCTATGCAATTGAATAAAATGTGAGCTGAGCTAAAACTGTTTTTATATCCTGCATAATTCACCGTGTCACTATGGTGTCAGATTCTCATTTAGGATCCGTTTCCCTTAGCTTGCAAGTATACAGTCAGCCTTTGTAATAGCCTTTCAACATGTAAACACAAATAATCAAAAGACTAATAATCAGGACGAATCTGGCCTGATTCATAACCTCATAACCATATGTGATTATGTTCTGCCTAGAATTAAGAGAAACCCTTGCATTATCGCACCAAAAAAATCAAAAAAATCTGAAAAACAACATATTTATATAAGGATCAAGCATTCTCATTCTCATCCCAGTGAAAATGCTGTAAAGAGCAGAATGAAGACTTACACCACAAGCCTAGAAATAATCCAGGAGACCATTGCGCTGCGAGCGGCGTGTTGTCAGCAGGGAGGAGTTTCCTTCAGACTGAGCGCTTGACAGACAGACGCGACTGCGCATGCGCACTGACCTCAACATGTGGCGTCCAGATAATGGGCAAAAATAACAACTTATATGTCCCAAAATAGATATATATTAAGTAACAGTAGTGAAAAGGGTCATTATTATTATGCTTTTATACGCATAACATATATGTATAAGCCAGGTATATAGGCTATGCTGTCAATCGATTAAAAAAAATAACGAATTAATCGTACAATAATAATTATATCCATTCATTAATTGAGTAGGCTATACTTACAGTATAATTAAAAGATTTAAATTTAAATGTATATCTTTTAACATCTATTTAACATTTAGGGTTTAAAAAAGATATTTTTGAATTCAACTGAACTTAAAACAATATTCCTATAAACCCATAATAATAACTTTAGCTGTGCCTGGCTTTAATATCACAGGCCAGGGCTCACCTTTTTTTCTATAAGTCAAACCTGGTCAGATTTTTATTTGCACTATCACAATGCACAAAAAGTTACAGTTTTTGTTGTTTTGACCCATGTAATCTTGTAGTGTTTTAAGTTTTCAGTTAGGTCTAACTGAAAATTTAATGAAGTTATCAAACACTTCACAGTCTTCACTGCATAAATAATAAATTAAATCCTTATTAAAGTAACAAAAGTTATTCAGTCAAGACCAGAGAGTGATTTTCTATTTCTCTTTAATACTTTGATTATTATTAATGACAGACAGAAAGTCAAAGTCTGATGGGAATAACGGCTGCTGCGTTAAATATTTGTAACGTGTTAAACTAAAAAAAAAATAATCACATGCATTAACATTCATTTTGAGACACGAATACTATATATATATTAAGTAATAGTTGATTACTACTAAGTATTTGGGTGGGTTTCAAATGCTATTTAAATACTCTAAACACCCTCGTTGAAGCTTAAATGTTCATCTTTGTGCATTAAACAGACCTTCTATAGAGGAGTAACCCAGATTCAAAGTGAAAAGAGTCTAAAGATCCAGTTTCCTTCACAAAGCTTTGGGTGAGTAGACAGGGAGGGAGTCAAAGGGAGAGAGACTGAAGTAGGTAAAATAACCCTCTGAGAATCCCGAATAAAACACCAGGCAATAACATAGTCAACAAGGGGTTTTGCATTACTGTAGAAGCACTACATAACTTATCTTAACAGATACAATACAACACTGTTTTATCAATGATGTGAAATTGCCTTTTTAATTTTATTAGTGTTACCAACATATTTTCCCCACTTACAAATTTGAGTGCATTAGATGTAAATGTTTTCCCACAACAGCAAAGGTATGAAATGAAGCAAAACGAATGAATTTGGTTCATTAGCCAACATATTGAGACTGGATTTATATAAAATCCATACTTGTAACTCCAGAGTGCTCAGCTTGTCAAATAAGCAGATCACACCATACTAAAAACTCATCATAATGCCAGAATGCACTGAGTAACTGTTTCATATGTAGACATGTAAGAGTAATATTCAGCAGACCATTCAACTTAAAATATAATATTGGATGAAACCATAAGATGAATTGTCAGCCATTTACATGTTAATCAGGCATTTCAGTCATCTAAAAGCAAAGGCATTAAAAAAATAGTCATAAAACAAAACAAACAAAGACAGAAGTGGATTTAAGCCATAACAAAAGCCACAAAGCGGCAGAAATCGACAAAAACAAAGAGAAATAAGATCCCAAACACCTGATGAGACAGTCAGTTATCGAGCACAGCCATTCCTTAATTCTCAAAGCCCGTCTTATCACTTTACTTACAAAATAACAATGCAATCGGATTTATTTTTATATGCAGCATTTGTACAAGATTTACAAGTAATGGCTTCCATGAATTTGTCCTACTCAATAAAACAAAATTGCCAGATGTATGAAAGAACTATTCATTTAGCCCAAGTAAAACTGCAAATTCAATAACAGAGACGAAACAACTAAGACCAACACCGATATGACGACACTGCACTACAGATCCTTGGACAAGCTGCAGCTATAGGCATAGATTCAAACCAAATATCCATCAATAACATGGACTTGAAGTAAAACTTTAATGATTTGAAATAGCCATGTGTATACGAGTACAAGAACTGAATATCTGACTTCACTGTTCATTATTATTAGTATTACACATAATAAAGAGTTAGAAATTGATAGAAATATAGACATTTTTATTTCTATTCTATATCCACTATTTTATTTTAAGTGAAGTCCGAATTTAGTCCTATATTTACCATGCCAAAGTGCCTTATGTGTAGAAAAGCTACAGAGGAAGATATGTTGTCTATGCCTATAGAGCTTGAAGGGAACGCAGGTGTTTTAGCTCCTCAGCGCTGCTAGTCTGGACTGCATTGCCTCGATATCTTCTTCTTCCTCTTCCTCTTCGTCTTCTGAGGCTGCCGTGGCTCCGATCTGCACTGGATCAGGCAGGGCGTCTGTGACTTTGCTGGGAGCTTTTCCAAGAGCGCCTGTTATAAAAAAAGCAATACCTTCAGCTTTGGTTCTCCTGCATTAATAACCTGAGAGTACATAATGACTAGGGCTGGGAATTGACACAAATTTCATAATTCGATTCAGATTCACATGCTTGCGATTCAATATCATGTATATACTGTGTGTGTATATATATATATATATATATATAAGATCCATAATTCCTTAATGCGGAATATACGTTATTGTAAGAGGTTAGCGACCCCTGGTGGCAAAAATTCCTGCATATTGTACCTTTAACCCCCTGGAGCCATATGTATTACTTAGATGGATATAATAATACATATTAATACATATTATGGATGGATGCATTTTTTTGGGCTTCAAAATCCCTAAGGTAGATCACTCCCATTATAAAGCTTGGAAGAGCCAGGATATTTTTTTAAATAACGGCGATTGTGTTTGTCTGAAAGAAGAAAGTCATATACACCTAGGATGGCTTGAGGCAGAGTAAATTATGAGATATTTTTATTTTTTAGGTGAACTAACTATTTGAGAATCGATACTGGTTCATCAAAATGAGAATTGATTAAAATTGATAAATCAATATTTTCAACCCAGCCCTAATAATGACAAAATGTTTTGTGCTAAAGCATTTTTCATAGTAAGAAAAGGCTGGGGAGGTTGAGATAAAGTGGCCATTTCCACATCCTGGGTGATTCAAGTCATGTGGTTCCTTACCAGCTGTAACCTCAAAGAGGATCCTGTCAACCTCAGCCTCTGCTTCTTCCTCCATCTCCTCCTCATCCTCCATCCCACCCAGTGTATCCTCCAGCATCTCCTCTATGATGCCAGCCTATGTAGTACGAGGGCTCCACGTTAGACATGTTACGTGTGCTCATCGAGACGTTTCTTTGAGGAAGTGTTTGTGTAAGTACCTTCATCATCTCTTTTGAGAGTTCTCTCATGGTGGCTTGAATCTCTGGGATTTTAACCAGGCTTTGCATGGCCTTCATGACCTCTGTGCTCTTCTGCAAGGCACCTGCCACTCTTAATAAAGCTGGAATGGGAAACCAATGGACAAATGTCTGAGCAACACTGTACAATAAGGTTCTTTACGGTAATATTAGTTCATGAAACAAAAATACTAGTTTACTAGGTTACTGTTCATTTCTACATATATTAGTACATTTCTAACATGTCAAGCTGTATAAATTAACAATAATGCATTACGAATGTATATAAATTACCGATGGAAAAATAGCATATTTATAAAATAACATTAATTTAGATTAATTAAAGATGAATAATAGTCTTTTAGGGTTCACTGTTCTACTGTTTGGTTTGGAAATATTCTCAGGTGGCCTCTTTTTCTTTTATTTAAAAGTATAAAAACTTATTTCAATTTATTTTAATTGCGCATGTGTAACATCATAAACGGCTTTACTGTTACTTTCAGTGAATTAAGAACTTAGTATTAGAGCTGCACGATTCTGGATCACAATTTTTAGGTTAAAAAAAGAGATCACGATTCTCCCACGATTCTGGGACAACTAAACCCAATCACATGTAATTTACTAGAGGTATAAACAAAATGTAATTTAAAAAAATATATATTTCATTTCATTAATTTGAATTATTATTATTTTTAACATGGTTTGAATGAATGATTCAATGACTCAATTTTTTCATTACTGGATGAATAAGAGTTTTTGAACGAATTATTCAATGACGAATCTATGTTTTACAGTCACTTGTCGCCACCTACTGATGAAATGATGATCACTGATAATTGTTATTTGAAGGGCCAAAATACCCCCCAAAAGATTTTTTTGTTTTATTTAGTTTTATATTAGTTTTCAAATATATTTTAAGGCCCTATACTGCTTTTCTCCAGAGATATAAGGACTTCTATGTGGCTCCATGAGTAAATTGGCAAACTACAAATTTTCAGTGATCAAAAAACAAATGTGGGTCACTTTGCACGGTTTTTTCTATCAACTTACAGGATTGTTGGGTCTGCAAAATAAAAACTACACTCACATAACTGATTCTTCATACTGAGCAGCACTGAGTTCATCTGGGCTTTAGAGGCGTACAGTTTGTTGACGGCTTTCTTTGAGTGAATCATCTCTTTGGCGAGAACGATGCAGACATCTCTCTGTCCCTTCTTTGCAGCATCTTTAATGGATCTCTTTACCTTCTCCTCCTCTCTTTGAATATCTTTGGAAAAACATATACAATTGCAACTTCTGTTAAGTAGGCTACAGTTACTACTGTAAATTGAACAATTTAATATTAGAATAAACTGCAACTGATAAAAAATTATAATAATAACAAACGGTGTATTTGACCTCACCTCGGATCTGTCTGTCAATAACCCTCATTTCTTTCCTGATTTTGAGAGACCATTCATTGATCTGTGGAAAAGAGATGAAGACAGTTTGAGATCAACTACCTGTTGTGATTGGATTTAACCAACACCCGTGTAAAGGCGAATAACTGAATTTGGTTTTCATAAAATTGCCCGTAGGGACCACACAATTTAACGTAACTTTGAAGGGCGCCGTTTAAAAAACAAATAAAGACATGACGTAATACAGTATGTAACTAACTAATGTGACAAGCGAGCTATTTATAGGCCTGGTATTATTTACAATGGAACATTTGTTAAAACCGTTAATTCTCGTCGCCCACCACGATCGATGTTTCACTTACAAGGTCCTTCGGGGGTTTCTCTTGTGTTTTTCCAAAAAGCCCCATTTTAAACTTATAAATTAAATAGTTGAACAAAGACGGGCACAATCAAAATAGGACATTACAAGTCCACTTCCTGATTCCAGCCTCTCGACATATGACAACATAGGACATTTCCGGTTATGCGGAGGACGGTTCACTTTTCATAATAAAAGCACGACTCGACCTGTCATTGTTTTTTTTCCTGACAGTATCACACCGCATGATTGAATTTTATTTTCTGATTAATAATTTTTTTTGTCATTATGATGATGATATTAAACATTTATTAATTAATATCAATGGTTTCGTCATGTTTGTTTATGGTCGGAAATGTTGTCAAGCGTCACAAAAATAGACAATTTCAGTAAATAAACTCACTTTTAAACAATTAAGGGCCTGGAAAACATACAGGACTATTTATTTATTTAGTTATTTATTATGAAAGTTATTTAAACCGAGAATGCAAATATGAAGTGAAACACTTTCAGGCATATTTGAAATGAAAATCCTATTCTTATATAAATTGTAATGAGGCTATTTTAAACACTTTATTATAAACAAATAGAATGCACGAGAATAATTTCCATATTACATCAGAAGAACATATCACATGCGTCACAATACAATAGAAATGACAAAAATTAAAGAAAACAGAGAGGGTACATCTATATATTGTTGAATAAAAGTAGATGCTTTGTTTTGTATATGGAAATGAAGAACATTGCAGTTTGCTGTGTTTAGATTTTGGCATCACATCCATGCACATTTTAATCTCCTTCTTAAGCACTGCACAATTGGGTTTACCATTTGTGAATTTATTTACATTTTTGGATATGAAACTTGCATAAAAATGTAATATTTTTAAAAATGAAACCAGCATCCTTTTGAGCAATGGTCCTTAATACAATAACTCAACATACTTATAGGATAAGAGAAAAGTATTTCAAACATTATCAGCAATGAATCTTTTAACATCTTTCCAGAAACACTGTGTCCAAAACATATGAGAAATGGTTTTAGTAGAACTTTTCACAGAAAGTTTCAATATTTTTCATTTTTGTAAAAATTGCTTAGTAGGATAGACTCTATATTTGATTTATTTTGTATGAGATTTCCTTAACCTTATTTGTAAGGATACATTTTTGGCACAACGACCAAACTTGAAACCAAGATACATTAGAGAGAATGTTCCAATAGAAAAGGACAGGAGGAGATATTCTTTTTAAAAAAGTAAAGAAAAGGAGAAATTCTCTAATTGTAAAGGCTAATTGTTAGATTTTAACATAGAAAAGCAAATCGATCCAACTGGGTTGTTTTCAGGTCTGGGAATTAATTTCAGCCGGTAATAAACAACAGATCATATGACAAGAAAAAAAATGTAGAAACACATTGTACAACACCTTTCTGTAATATCAATAGAAATATCTGCCTTCAGTTATAATGAGAGCCTATTTTCGATTATAGAGATGGCGGACGGTGTTATTTATTTATGTTATTATTTATTTCTCTCCATCACCACCACATCCAGAGATTGACCCTTGACATTCGCCATAGGTCGTTTAATTGCTCGGTCATTCCCAGTGACGTAAAAAAGCGAGCTTCTCTCTCCAGGTTCTAGATTTTTCGTCCTTATCTGGGATGCTGCACCAATCGAACGGATGGCTGGAGTCCAGTACCCAATCAGAGCCGCCGGTGGGCGGGGCTTTACTGAATTCCAGGCTCTTGACAAATGCGCAAGTTTACCCATATTGCCGGTTGACAATATCAGTGGAGGCTGCAAGAATGCAGTAGAAGCGTCCTCTGCTATAGGATTAGAGAGGAAGAATTATCTATAAAAAGCTCGACTTACATAATAGCGTATAATTCTTCTAGCGCACTCAGACACATACTGTAGAACAGGGGTGTTGTGTTCTCACCCAGCTGCACTGTCAAAACTGGACCGGAGGTGTTGAGAATAAAGAAATAAGGACTGAACATGTCTGTGGTGGGAATTGATGTGGGTTTCCAGAACTGTTACATCGCTGTTGCCAGGAGCGGCGGTATTGAAACCATTGCAAATGAATACAGTGACAGATGCACTCCGTAAGTATAGCATTGCCATCTCTGTAAAATGATGCTGTGTTGTTACGCAACGTTTGCTGTTGCCTAGCTGGCAATGTTCCCGATCCAGTGTAGGCTGTGTTGCCCCTGCGACTGTCAGTTTTGTCCGAAGGATGCTCCATTTTGCTTGAAATTTGCAGTTTGACCTCCGCATAAGTCTTATCAACGATTGCTACGCCCTTAATTATGCCTGAGAGTGAGAGCTGTGCTAATTATGCCGTTTTGTGCTTTTATTTATCTAGTTAGCTAATTATCACAGGGCTTATTGTCATTATTTAATATTGTGAATAAGACAATACTACACCATACACATTCAGTCGCTTGTGAAATGAATTAAAGCAACTGTTTTGTGGCTTTTCACACACGAATTCTATACCTGCATGTCGTGCACGAGCACTCACGTGAACGGTATAATCTGACACCTCACCCTGCATGGGGTGAATCCACGAGACTGTGTGACTGTGACGAGGCCGTTCTGTCTGTCGACCCTCTCGTTTGGGTGCGGCTTCAAATACAATCAAAATAAAAACTCAATATTTTCACAAATAGGCTTTTGGACAAATGAAATCAATCAAACTGAGGTGTTTTAGGAGGTCACTGCAGTGCTCATTCAAAAAGAACGATCCCAGGCAGCGAACACAGAACGTTCCCCTAACGTTCCAATATGGTTATTTTTTGGAACCAAATAAGAACGTTCTAGAAACGTTCTATTTAGTTTCTTATTTATGGGTCATTGATGAATAAAGTATTTTCAAAACTGATATAATGCATCTTTAAATAAGTTTAATTTGTTAAATAACATTTCAAAGTGTATATTTTATCATAAATATTTTACTGTTTTTATGTCAGGCGGTACAACCAAATAGTTGTATATGTATACACTGCAATTGTATCAGATGACATGGAAAGTGTAGCAACCTGTCCATACTTTTGTTTTGTTTACCAGTATTTGAAAGAGATTTACTAACCTTTTCACTGAGCCACAATGATCAGTTGGGCTCCTCTGGATGAAGCATTATCTGTACTGTTATAACCTTGTCAATTCATAATAAATTAGCCATGTTTGCAGTTGTGCCAACCTGACATAATAACGCACACCACAACTGTACATGCCAATCAGATTTTTTAATATAACAACATTTGCAATAAAAATTTATCAGAGATGACTATGCTTTCATTTGATTTTAAAGTTATGACACAATATGATCTCAAAAACCATCTGTCTTAACACCATAACTCATTAACTCATGTAGGTTAATATATATTGAAGTTATGAAAAATGGAAATATTATTAAGAAACATTGCTACTATACCCTGACAGAAGGAAAATGTATGCAGCTTTACAGCTGTGCTCCTGATTTTTGTCAACAATATCAGAGATTTGCAGAAACAAAACTCAGGGAGCATCAATGTTATTTTCATTCTTAAACGGATAGTTTGGATATAAATGTCATCAATTTACTCACCCTCATGTCATTCCATGTCTTTTTTCAAAGGAACACAGATTTTCGGTAACAAAATGGTTTTGATAACCATTGACTTTCATTGTATGAACAAAAATATTTCTTAAAATATATCTTATGTTGCACAGAAGAACGAAAATCATACAGTTTTGTAAAGACATGATGGCGACTTAATGGTAAATGTAATTTTTTTGTGGAGTGAAATAAGCCTTTAATGTCATCTGGTCACAATTAAAAAAATGTTTGGGATTTTTATCAATTTCCCTCATATTACAGGTCATATTAGTTGTTATAAATATAACTCCCTACTGACTTTTATAAATGTGTGATTTTTTTTTTGTTACACATCCTGTAAGTGTAATTTCATTCATTCTTTTAGTTAATTAACATTTCACACATTTTTGTATCTGACATTGACTTGTATCAATTGGTAGCATGTAAAACACACATTTTGCAAAACAAACATAGTTTTGAACATGTTGACCAGAATATTAATCTAATTAATCCAACTCGTTTACACACTGTTTACACGCTTGTTTTCATGAGTTTGTTTAATTCCACTAATAAGTTCCACTATCATAATTATAGTGGCTATGAAATGCAGAAGGCACCTTATGAGAATTTATTTTGAGGACCTCCAGCTGCTAGCAGTCTTGATATACCTTGACATGCCTTTTGAAATCTCAAAAGCTTATTTCACACTATAACATAGTGTGAGACTCAGAAAAAGCTTGTGATAAACATAGTCAAGACGCTGTCCAAGGTGCTGATCCACACCCTACTCATCCAGGTTCTATAATGCGTCAGTTTGGAAATAAAATATGAAGGGTGTGACCAAAATGCATGATTCATTTATGAACATGTCATCTTTCCCAACAGAGCATGCATTTCTTTGGCCTCTAAAAACCGGACCATTGGAAATGCTGCTAAAAGTCAGGTATGGAATGCTGGTCATTTCATCGTTTCTACTTTACTGAACCATTGAAATATTTGCTAATTGTTAAAGTACTCAGATAAAGTGTGCAACTAACCAGTAATCTTGCCCTCTTCAGATCATAACAAACTTTAAGAACACGGTTCACGGCTTTAAGAAGTTTCACGGTCGAGCGTTCGATGACCCATTTGTTCAAGGGGAAAAATCCAAGTTGCCTTACAGCCTTCACAAACTGGACAATGGCAACGCTGGAATAAAGGTAAAATACTGTAACTGTGTTCTGCCATCCTTCTCAAACACTTTATTATGCTATTGTAGACCACCATCCCAAAAAGCTAGACTGTTAAGCTAGACTAAAGCAAAAAAAAATCGTAAACATAGAGAGTTGTTGTGTGTATTTGTTTTATTTTAGATTATTTTAGACTTTGTCAAGAAAACAATGTTCTAAAAGAGGCTATATGTGGAATGCAGAAACCCTTGTTGTTAGCGACACCGGTGGACATTAAGTGAACTGCAGCCATTAACTTATTGCTTGTGCTCGCACTCGTGCTCACGTAACGTACAAGACTAAATCACCGATGTACCCCAAGTTCTTTTTCATTTAGTTAGAAATGGCGATTTACAGTTAATGAAC